CCCACCCTCCCTATCCCACCCCTCTAGGTGGTCACAAAGCACAGAGCTGATCTCCCTGTGCTATGCGGCTGCTTCCCACTAGCTATCTGTTTTACATTTGATAGTGTGTATATGTCCATGCCACTCTCTCACTTCATCCCGGCCTCCCCGTTCCCCACCGTGTCCTCAAGTCCATTCTCTACATCTGCGTCTTTTTTCCTGCCCTGACACTAGGTTCATCAGTACCACTTTTTTAGATCCCGTATATATATACATTAGCACATGGTATTTGTTTTTCTCTTTCTGACTTACTTCACTCTGTATGACAGACTCTAGGTCCATCCACCTCACTACAAATAACTCAATCTCGTTCCTTTTTATGGCTGAGTAATATTCCATTGTATGTATTGGTTCATTTTTTATTTGTATTTCCTTTCATTACCTGTAAATCAATTCCATGAAAAAACCTTGTTTAGTGGTCCAGGGAGGGGGCTGTGCAAGTCTTGTTGCCAGTGACTCACCAGAGGAGGACACTGCCCTCAGTGTGCCCAGACTCCCTCTGGCCTGAAGCAGCACCCGCATTGCGGGCATTTTCCTGTCTCCCAAAGGTATTCTCCTATACGTCATCATCCATCCATATGGCAGAGAAGGACTGGGGGCTTGGTGTCAGCCAGGGGCCCTGGCTTTGGACCTCCCACTCCTGTATTTAGATGTATGCGGATGCACGGATGGTTGGATTTGGATGTATAGTCAAACCACAGTCACCCAGAACAATTCATAACTTCGTTCCTTTCACCAAATTGTAATGAGCACCCACAGTGGGCTTTCTGTCTTGGAGACACAGCTGAGAAGAGCCCAGTAGTACCCTGTCCTCAGGGAAACACAGGCAAAAACTCCAAACAAGTAACTGAGAAGATATTAGGTGTGAGCCATATGTTCATAAAAACAAGATTACGTCACAGAAAGTGAACCCACTTTAGGTAGGGTTGTCAGGGAAGGTCAACATTAAGACAGCATCCACCATGCAAATAGAATGACTAAGGAGTCAATCATGCAAATGTCAAGGAGACGAACACTCCAGGTGGCAAGAACCACCCATGCAAAAGTCCTGAGACAGGAATGAGCTTGCTAAGTTTAGAGGACAGAGGAGGACCACTGCTGCTGGGACATGGAGACAGGTGTGGGGACAAGCCCAACTCCAGAAGGCAGGGGGCTGTTTTCTAAGATCACACCCTGTCGCGTTGCCACTGCCCCTCCAAGCCCCACGCAGCCCAGGCAGGGAGTTTTGGACTCTGCCCATATGTCCCAGTCACTGAGCATCAGAATGCCCCAGAGTCTCACGCTGGGCAGACATTTTGGTTGATTGATGAGGGTGGGACATGTCAGGTCCTTTGAGGCCCAAGCACATTTCTGCGTGTCATAATCGACAGGGACCACTGCCCACAAGCTCTTCTGCATACTGTACGGAGACCCCATGGGTTAGGGGTTCTGCCCCTCCCCCCGTGGCCAGCTCATGGCAACCCCAGCCTGGCCTCTCCATCTCCCACCGTCACCACCATAAGGGAAGCTGCACTCAGTGAACTACCCTTTCAACATCTTAGGGGCACATTTCAGTCAACTCCACTCTTCAGCAAGGCTGGCAGATGAGACCTTCCGTCTCAATCAGATATCCTGGTTAATGGAGCATCACATCTGTACCTTACATGGATCTCCCTTTCTCAAAGAATTATAAAACAATCAAATGCATTTTGCACTAAAACCTCAGTGACCGTAATTTAATCGGGTTCCAGTAAACAAAGTCTCGCCAAGAATTTCTGTTGTCTGAGGGTCCTAATTATGAGTGTCAGTTACTATTTGTACCATAAATGTGCAGATCTGTTGGCTAATAGACATTCCTGGTGGAGAAAATGCCATATCGACCATCTCTTATGATCTATCCTCTTTGCTGGCCTTGAGAAGTTACACATACAGAGGAAGACCATTTTCTAGTTCCCACAAACACCTGTCTTAATGAGGCTGTACGTCACCCTATTTACTTGCCCTCATTCCCTCCAAAGTTTGCACTCTCAATGCATGGCAGGCATTTGCAGAACCTCCAAAATGCCTGTGCCCTCAGCTCAAGCAAGATCTTCAGCCACATGCCAGGAAGCTGAACAATGCCTGAAGACCAGCAGTCTCCTGCTGGTCCCTTCTGCCCTTGCCAGTCGACGAACTGGTACCAATTTCTGCCACCAGGCCCCAGCAATTAGACCCTGTTGAACTACTATCTTAGGTGAATACAGCAAAGCTTTCTCAAAAGCCTGAATTAATCACAGAGAAAAGGGGTGTCATGCAATCCAAGATGATATTAATATCAGGAAAATGCAGTAAATTTTTTTATTGATCCATGTAGATTGATGTTCTCATTACCTGTCACACTCGCAAATGATAAAAAGCAAGGGTAAAAGTGCCGGTTTTCCATACAGGAGATCTTATCAACTGTACTGAGGATGTGATCATTATACTTACACATTTTATAGAGCTGTTTTCTTAACAGCCAAAAGCACTTTCGTTTAATATTAATAAAAAAGATGTTTGGCTGAAAGTGGCTGGAAGCCACGTGGCTTTTGTATGAATGATGGCACCTCCCACTGCACTGTTCTCTGGTCAACATTTCCCTGCCCAGAGGCCCAGCCTCCCGACAGAAACTGAGGCGGGTTGCCATAATCCCAGCCCCTCTCATCTTTTCACACAGCCTGAAATGAGGGTAAGTTGGGGAGAGTAGAAATCCAGTTCTACTTAGCCTAGGTCTAAAAAGACAAGAAGGTATTGGAAGATAATAACATTTTTTCTGCCATTTCTGTATTATCAGCCCCTCCACTGTAACCAACTATAATTGTGAATAGGATATAGAAATAGCCACGGAACACACGACATTAGCACCAAAGTAAATCATAGGAGAAATTGTGGGGCGGTGGAAAAGGACAGAGTTTCTCCACGGAGCCATCCCTGCGAACACGTAGAAGCCTCTTTGCAAACTCTGTTCTTGTGGCCGTGTTACAGCATGCTCATTCGGCTATCAGCCAGGACACTTTTTCTCTCATCATAATAAAAAAACAACTAGTTGGATAAATTTCCCCTTGGCAACCTCTTGTTCAGACAGGTATAAGACTTTTTAAATGTGTGGGGATGGTTCCTCCGTGGTACCCTGGAAGATCCAGCACTTGGCTTACCCCAGACAGCATGCCCTATAAATAAAAATGAAAAGCCCACACCGGTAATGCAGAGCCGGGCTGGCTTCCTCGCTTGCCAGGCAGACAGACCTCTTATTAGGAAGAAGCCAGGAGAGGAGTGGGCGATGAGAGCAGGAAGGTTAGGACGTGGAACCTGATGCAGTTATTCACTGGCAGGGCAGCAATACAGAAACACAGAGGGATGATGAGGTTAAAGTCTCAGACGCTGCCTGGCTTTGAGGAAGAAGACACTTGCAACACTAATCAAAACCAGGGTCCCGGAGCAACCAGTCTTCCTCAGGAGAGGAAACATTTTGAAGACCCAGCAGCAGCCCCAGAAGTGGCCCTGGAGGTGTGCAGAGTTGATGAATGGTTCGCTGTATTATTCACAGGAAGCCACATTTAAAGCTTATTTCAGCCGGGGCTAAACCCATCCAAATGTGTTACTCTGCGCAAGGACCTCTAATCCACGGAGACTCTAAACCCTCCAGTCCATTACCTGGATCACCTGGCCTTGGGCAGAAAAGTATTTGGGAATTGGTTGTTTTATTTGACACTAAGCAGGGTGCCCCACGCATGACAGGCATTCAGTAATGCCTTTAATGAATGAAGGCTTGAGTAAATGAACTGACACAAGGACGCTCCAGCTTTCCCGGGGGTGAAGGATTGGTGCTCCAAGCAATATGTGTGTGCATGGTCAAAACTGCCTTGAAGAAACCCTCGCATGGGCCAGAGAGAACCAGGACAGATGTCACCCTGGCAAGGATTCATGGCCTCGTTCACAGGCCCTGTTGGGAGGTCTGTGTCATCTCTCAGAAGGGCCGGCTTTGCCACCCTGGCAGGACATGTCCCTCCCATGTGTTGTGTTAGTTTCTGCTGTATAACAAAGTGAGTCAGCTAGATGTATACATATATCCCCATATATGTATGGCTGCACCTACACGGATGAAGCAATAGGCCGGCCGGCGCTTGGGTGCCCAGCTGCACAAAGCAATCGGTTTCACTGCCAGAATCCACTCTGCTCAGCCGGGGGAATAAATGTACTTCCCACCTCAAGCTAGGGCCTGTGGTCCTGTGCGTTTCCATCCGTATTTTCCTATCCTGCCACCCACCCCTCTTATTTTTATGCCAAGCGTGATGATTAAATTCTGGAATTTTAAACGAGTACGTGAGGCCATTGCAAGACAGAGCTGGCTGTTTGAGACCCCGACAGCTGTAAGCTTCCATCGCCCCAGAAATTGATTGGATTCCAGGCCCAGGCCCTGTCCACACCGCATTCAGAGCCCACAGGCCGAGAGCTCCCCGCCGGCTCTGGAGAGGAGGGTGTGTGGGTGGTGTCAGGACGCCCCGGGCACTTCAAAGGAATGGTGGGAAATGATGCTTGCTATCAAAAGTTAAGCATGTCTCACCAGATGAATAATGGAATGGTCTTCAATAATCCATCAGTTTATATTAAAAACTCCAAAATGATATAAAATGTGAAGACATGGAAAATGGTCACTCTGTGTTTCAGGCAAATCAAAGCAGCCAGGAGGGAACGTCCCTCCCTAAACCCCTACCTGTCAGCCACACGTGCATCCACAACACCCAGACCTCGTCTTGACCCCGTTTCCCTCCCTAGCCCCCATCCCCATTGCTCTCCTTCCACCTTCTCTTAAACCAGCCAGGTGTACACCCCGACTCCTCCGCTGTATTAACTTCCTGGGGCGACCGTAACAAAGCACCACAAACTGGGGCACTTAAAAGAACTTCAGCTCAGGAAGGCCAGAAATCCGGAATCAAGGTATCAGCACTGTTCATTCCTCCCGGAAGCTCTGAGGGAGAATCTAGTCCAGGTCCCTCTTCCCTCTTCTGGTTGCTTGCAGCAACCCTGGGTGACCCCACGTCACTCCAGTCTCTGCCTCTGTTGTCACGTGGCCCTCTTCCCTGTGTGTCTTCTCATTTTCTGCATCACGTAAGATACGCATCATTGGATTTAGGGTCCACCCTAAATCCAGGGTAATCTCATCTCAAGATCTTTACCTTAATTCCGTCTGCAAAGACCCCTTTCCAAATGAGGTCACGTTCACAGGTACTAGGGACTATATTTTGGGGGGTCACTGTTCAACCTGTGACATTCACCAGAACTGGAGTTGTCAAGGTTGCCAACAGCCCCAGGTTGCTGAATCCGATGTTGATTCTCCATCTGCAGCTCATCTGACCCGTTGACAGCATCCTTTTTCTTGGTACCCCTCCCCTCGGCCTCCAGGACCCTCCACACTCCCCGTGGTTCTCCTCTTGCCTCCCTCTGCCCCTCACGCAGGCTTCCTCACCTGGGGGAAGATCGCCACTCCAGCCTCCTCGTTGTTCAGATCAAATATCCTGGCAGTGGCGTTGATTCCTCTTCCTCTGACACACCTAATCCAACAGGAAGTCCCGTGGGATCCGTCTTCAGAAAAGACCCAGAATCTGACCATGTCTCACCACCCCTGTCTGAATCATTCCCATCTCTCCTTGGATACTGTACAAGCCTCCTAAGTGGTCTCCCTTTTTCTGCCTCCCAAAATCCATTCTCAACAGCAGCCACAGTGACCCTGTGAAATCATGCCAGCTCACGCCAGCTCTCTGCTCAAAATCCTCCAGTGGCGCCCATTTCCCTGGGATAAAAGCCAAGTCCTTGTAATGCTGACCAATCCCTCCCCAGTCTGGCCTCTGATTACTTTTCTTTTTCCTTCTCATCCTCCTCCATCCCCCGCCCCCATGCTGCTGCAAAACAGGGGCTCCTTCTGGTTTGAGAATTCCCCCCAGCACTCTCCCACCCCCGGGCCTTTGCACTGGCTGTTCTCGATTCCTGGAAGGGTCTTTCCCTAGAGACCTAAGTGTCGCCCTCCCTCACCTCCTCCAAGTCTCTGCTCCATCTTCACCTTCTCAGTGAGCATCCCCTGACCATTCTGTAAAAATTACAAACTGCCCTCTGGCCCTCCTGATCTCCGTTGTCTCTCTCTTCCGCTCAAACACACGCTCCCAGGGAAGAGATCTTTACGTGTTGATCCCCAGTGGATGACAACACCTGGAATACAGGAGGTGCTCACCAAGTGTTTTGTCAAATAAACAAGTGGGGAGGAATGCCATTAAAAACAAAATGGTTTAATTGTAAACTATATCATAGGCCAAAAAGTATATATCATCTTTAAATGTAGTTTAAAGAACAATACACACCCAAGTACCCACCACCCAGCTTAAAATAAAAATATGGCCCATTCATGTGAGTCTCCTGCGTGCCCCTCCCCATCCCAGCCCTCACTCCCCCCATTAATCACTATCCTCAATTTGTATTAATCATTCCTTTCCTTTAATGTTTTCCACGTGTGTATGTATCTCTAAACACATACTATAATATACTATATACGTTAAATTGCATATTCTCATGTTTAAAAAACATGTTTATATACATAGAAGTGCTGACAGTTGTAGTCTCCAAATTATGGGTGACTTTCAATTTCCTTCTTGTCCTTTTCCGTATTTTCCAGGCTTAGAGAATGAACATATATTACTTCTGCCGTCAGAAAACAATGGAATACATGCCTGCACATACCTAGATGGTCTCATTGTGAAACAGGAAGCATGCTTGTTTGTGAGGCAAACAAATATCATTTCTGTACTTAATGTCCCTCTGTGACTTACCGTCAAAAAAAGGTTTAGATTTGTTTAACGTGGTAGAGAAGCAAATATTGCTTAAATGAATCTCAGAAATGACGTGCCCCGAGTGGCTGACTGGGTGACCTGTGATGGAGCAGGGACCTTAAAAATCCTGCTCCCCAAAATGAGACCCCTAACCCCCATCTCCCAGGTTCAGCTCTGGGCTCAGCTTCCCGGCACATCTGAAAGCTGCTGTTCTTTCTATGATTTGTCTGCAATTCGAGTCCTGGGTGGTCTCCAGTTTGATTACAGTGACTCACCTCTTCTATTATTAAGGACACGGGCAGTCCTGTATTTTTACTTCTTTGCTGCTGTCAGGGATACTTGCCCACTCAGGGTGAAGGGTTGTGTGGGGCGACAGGCTGGGAGGCTACACTGGGCCCCCCACTCTGTCCACCCTCTCCCCTGACGTGACCTTGGCGGTGCAGCCTCGGAGCCCCAGCTTCCTTCCCTTCAGCACGTAGACTGGGTCTAGAATCTAGAACATCTGCCCTGTACCTGCTTCTGTTTCCCATACTTTTCCTTTGCTTCTTTCTTCTTTCTCAGAGTGATGATGAGCTCGAGGTCACTGGGCCAAACTGCCTGGACCCCCATCCTGGCTCTGCCTCTTGGAGCTGGTGACCCAGTGTAGGCTCTCTGACCTCTCGGTGCCTCCGCTTTCCCGCCTGTGAAATGGACATAAAAAAATAAACCTAACGCAGAAGACTGTGGGGAGAAGTCACCCAGAGCAGCGCCAGCACACAGCGAGCTCTCGGTAAATGTTGCCCTTTTCTCCCCTCGACTGTTTTAGAAGGTATACATTCTTCTTCTCGTATTTTAGCAGTAGATCTTACATTTTTAACATTGATACTTAACCTAATAAGCCTGAAGTTAATTAGCATCTATCTCCAGGACCACGAAAGGCTGCCCTGGATCATCAAGCTGTAGGATGTGTAACACACCTTATACATCCTCATGTGCCTCCCTGGCTCTTCATGATGTATAATATTTTAGTTTCACTTTGTTTTTAAAAATCTTTGACATTAGTCTTTTGTTATTACAAATATTTATTTGGTAGTGAAGAGACTTTTGGATTTTCTCGGGGGGCTTCCCCTGCATTGGCAGCCGCCCTACAGGCCTCAAGATCCACTGGTCTCCCTGCCCTTCACCGCCCACCTATATACACACATGCACACGCACATGCGTGCCTACACACATGGAAACACACACATGTGCACACAAAGATGCCTACAAACGCGCAGGCACACAGACATGAGGCTGCACTCATACACTTGCACACACAGGCACATGCAGACATATGGACATGCACGTGGACACACATGCGTGTGTCTGCACACACTCATGTGCACACAAACATGCACGCGCAACATTGAGGCCTGGTCCCCTGAAGCACCGCCTCTCCTGGATGTCCCCAGTCTCTCCCCTCCATCAGCATCCTGGGTCCCAGTTCCTCAGCATCTTGCTATCTCCTAGGATAAATCCATAGACCAGTGTCTCCCAGGGTGACGTCCCTGAATCACTGTGTCAGAATCACCTCGGGAGTTCAGATTGGAAGAGAATAAAGAGAAATAACAATGAAATGCAATGTGTTCTGGGTAGGATCCTGGGACAGAAAAAGAATATTAAACGGGGGGATGCAAATAGAGTCTGTAATTCAGCTATTGGTATTGTGGCCATGTTAATCCTCGAGTTCCATCACTGTATGATAGGTAAGGTGGTAACTGTAAGGGGAGCTGAGTAAGGGGTATATGGGAACTGTCTGTTCTATTTTTGCAGCTTTTCTGTAAGTTTCAAATTAACTCAAAAAGTGAAAAAAATTATCTTGGGAGTTTTAAAAAATATATATTTCTGGACCCACTGCAGACCTGTGGACTCAGGAGCTCTGGGGGTGGGCTGTAGGTAGTAATATATATATATATAATATATAATATAATATATAATATATATAATATATTATAATAATATATAATTATAATATATAATGTAATATTATATATATATATTTTTTTTTATTTTTTTTTAGACTAGCAGTCCCCAACCTTTTTGGCACCAGGGACCTGTTTCGTAGAAGACAGTTTTTCCACAGCCAGGTGTGGGTGGGGGATGGTTCAGGCCGTAATGCGAGCAACGGGGAGCAGCAGGTGAAGCTTCGCTCTCTCGCCCGCCGCTCACCTCCCACTGTGCAGCCCGGCTCCGAACAGGCCGTGGACCGATACCGGTCCACAGCCCGGGAGTTGGGAACCCCAGTTTTAGATTATATCTCCAAATAGTCATATTCTGAAGTTTTGGGGTTAGGACTTCAACAAATGAATCTGGGGAGTTGGGACACAATGAAGTCCATAATGATCAGACCCCTGCAGACCCCCTGGCAGTTCCCCAGGGCACACGGGTCCCACTCTGGGCACAGTCCCAGAGCAGCAGAACCCCCAGAACCACGCAGGCTGTGCAGAGGGGCAGCCACACAGAACACCCGCGTCCACTCCCAGGCCCCCACCCTGGTAGGGTCGACAGTGGCAGGAAGATCCATCCATGGGCCAGCCTCGCCCTGGGCACCTAGGAAGGGCCAGCCAAGGGCCAGGAGCAGAGAAGAAGATGGGAGAGGGTGGAGGGAAGGAGGCCACAGGCACTGGGAGCTGGGCTAGCAGCTGCTCTCCGGGAAGCTACGCGATTAACAAGCATTCAGGGGACACTTTCTGTTCCGTGAGAGCTGAGAACCACACATACTCACCCATAGGGCCAACCAGGGCTGAGTGCACTAGGCCAGCACTGGCCAAGAGAACTTTCTATGATGATGGAAGTGTTCTGTATCTGTGCTACCCGATACTGAGGCTGTTGAGGACTTGAATGTGGCTAATTTGACTGAGGGACTGAATTTTAACTTTAATTTTAATATAAAGAGCCACATGTGGCTGGTGGCTGGTGACCGACATGCAGCACTCAGCCCCGGCCCCTTCCTCCACTGTGTACAAACTACAGCCTAACATTTATTTTTTAGATTGATTTAATTTATTTATTTTAGTTTTTGGCTGCGTTGGGTCTTCGTTGCTCCACATGGGCTTTCTCTAGTTGCAGCGAGTGGGGGCTACTCTTCATTGCGGTGTGAGGGCTTCTCATTGCGGTGGCTTCTCTTGTTGCAGAGCACAGGCTCTAGGCGCACAGTCTTCAGTAGTTGTGGCATGCGGGCTTCAGTAGTTGTGGCACACGGGCTTCAGTAGTTGTGGCTCATGGGCTCTAGAGTACAGGCTCAGTAGTTGTGGAGCACAGGCTTAGTTGCTCCGCGGCATGTGGGATCTGCCCGGAACCAGGGCTTGAACCCATGTCCCCTGCATTGGCAGGCAGATTCTTAACCACTGCACCACCAGGGAAGCCCCAGCCTAACATTTTAACCTCAGCCTTCAACACCCAAACGCAGAGTGGTGACCAGGACCAGGCAAGCCATGGGGCCTTTGGATAGAGGGAGAGACTTGCAGGCACTTACTGAAACGTGCCTCCCTCCCCAACTATCAGGATGGATGGCAAAAAGGAGTCTTCTGTGAGTAGCTGTCCAAACTAAAACAGGCCATAGATGCGTTGCAGGTTGAGGCTCCAGGATCCAAATACCCAGGCCCTTTTGGATCAGGTAGGAACATTTTACTCCCCTTCTAGGGCCAGCAGCCACAGCACTGGGTCCCTGCTACTCTGAAACCAGACTGGAATTCACATCCAAGTGGAGCTGCTCTAGAGAGGGCAGCCCAGGGCTACATGAATAATGGATGATCCACACTGCCTGCTCTGAGAGGCCTCTCTCCCTTCCAGGATCCCGGAACCCTGAAGGAGGGGACACCCTCCTTTCTCATCCACGGCAGGGCTGGCCCAGGCCAGAGCCTGAGAGGGGTCGTCGGGGCAGGCTTTGTCCCAGCCCCAGCACAGACCTCTGCCCTCCAGGATTGGACAGCAGAAGGGCCTTCCTGGCCCTCCACATCGGCTGCATCTGGGATTTGGAATTCAGGAGCCCCATGACTGGCCCCGAAGATGGCTTCCCACCCCCCTGGAAGGTGCAAGCTAGCTGGAACCATCCAAATCCCCTATGGGGTCAACAAAGAGGCCAGGAAAGCAGCACGGAGCCTGGGCTGGGAGCCAGGAGGGCAGAGACCACCCCCAGCCTGGGAGTCCTTGGTGGGAGCTGGGACTCACCACACTGGCCTGCCTGTCACCTTTACTAAGAGTGGTGGTGCCATCTTTGGTTAGAGAGCCTGTGGTCTAGAGAGGACAGTCTGAGAAGGACTGGGACATACAGTAGTGTCTTAGAGCAGACCTGAGATGAGGTGACCCCAGACCCCAGGAAGCACCCACCCAGTGGGTGGGACTGAGGCAAGGCAGGTGTTTTGGACTGAATTGTGTCCCCCTCAAAATTCATATGTGGAAGCCCTAACCCCCAATGTGACTGTGTTTGGAGACAGGGCCTTTAGGGAGGTAATTAATGTTAAGTGAGGTCATAAGGTGAGGCCCTAATCTTATAGGTCTGGTGTCTTTATGTTATGGAGTCCAAGCTCATTGCTCACCACACGACAGACCAATAAATCAAGAGACTAGTTTTTGGGGCAAGGAATAGCAACTTTATACAGAAAACCAGCAGACCAAGAAGATGATGGACTAGTGTCCCAAAGAACCATTTTACCCAAGTTAGAATTCAGGCTTCTTTTATGCTAAAAGGAGAGTGGGTGTGGCTGGTCGTTGCACACTTCTTGGTGCCAGAATCCTTTGTTCTTGCTGCTGTCCAGGGAGGTCAGGTCACAGTGTTCCTGTAAACCCCCAACAAGACAAGTGTTATTCTCTGTTCAGCAACTTTTTGTCTCTGTATGAATGGAAAAGTGCTATACCTTGAGAATGTATATTTCAGGCTATAGGCAACTGGTAGCAAAAGGTTAAAGTAAAAAGAAACAGATCCAATGTGGACTCAGATTTGTTCTTCCCTAGTACACTTACAATAACTCTCCCTCCCAGCAGCACCCTTAGCACAGAGAAGAGGCCACATGAGGACACAGTGAGAAGGCAGCTGTCTGCAAGCCAGAAAGAGAGGCCTCACCAGACACCAACCCTGCTGACAACTTGATCTCAGACTCCCAGACTCCAGAACTGTGAGTACATAAATTTCTGTTGCTTAAGCCACTTAGTCTGTGGTGTTTGCTGTCAAGCCAGTTGCCCCTGTGGGCAATGGAGGTTGGCCTACTGAAGAACTCTCTGGAATGTGGCACAGGCCAGAGTCACCCACCTGAGAGGACAGGGGAAGCTCTGGCAGTCACTGGGTGAGGGTGGCCCTCAGGAGGCGATCATGCCCAGCTGTGAGCCGCTTCAAGGAAAGCCTCCAGGCAGGCGGGAAGTGCGGATGCTGTCAGCTGGCTCTCAGGCTGGAGTCCACTGAGAAGTATATCCCAGGGGGTCTGGGCCGCTCTGCCCAGCAAAATCTGCATCTGGCAGCCTGGTTAACTTGGGAGCCTGGTGAGAATTACGATGCACAAATGGCCTGGCTGAGAGAGTCTAACAAGGAGGCTGAGTTAGTGGGGGGTGAGGCACCCAGGCTCGAGCAACAGTGGGAAGCTGTTACGAGCTCAGGGCAGAGGGACCAAGTGATGGGAGCCCAGAGGGCAGGGAGCTGTAGGGGCACTGCCAGGCAGGAGGAGAAGGCCAGAGGCACAGCCAGGCGGGGTGGCGGGGTGATAAATACCCCAACCTCTCCTCCCACGTTGGCTTAGGCCACAGAGCGGATGAACCATGGCAGTGGTGTGCTGGTAAATGTTTAACAACCGGCTCTCTGGTATAGGGGAGCCCTGATGTGTAGCATCTGTCAATTTCTGTGATGAATATACTTCCACCAAGACCTGTTAAACGCTGCCAAAAGGTTGGCGCAAACTGTCCTGAGTTTTCTTAGATTCTGCATGTGTCTATTTGGCATCTATTAATCATGGGGCCAAACTAATAGTCAAATTGTTTACACCGCCCCTGTGGTCTAGCTTTCACGGGCATGCGAAAATCATATTACAAACCTTCTAACAATCCCAAGTCCAGACCCCCAACCATCTCCTTTATCTAACTCTCACCCACCAACCCAGTACTTCCTCTGCCCTAAATCACCAGACGTCTAGAGACCACCCTGTAGCTCAGACCCTGCCACCATTATTCAAACTAGCCAATCCTAGGCTGTTCCCCGGCCCTGCCTTTCCCCCGAGGATCGCAATAAAGGATGTGGCCTGTGCTTTCCCCTTCCTCTTGCTTCTGCCTCCTGACTCTGGTGCTTTCCCACCGGGCCCTGCATGGATGTGTGCCTCTGTTCCAGGGGAAATGTGAGTAACAATAAACTTCCTTTTAATGGCATTATCCTCACCCTGTTGTCACTCAGTCAGCTTTATAATTTAAGACCTGGCACAGGTCACAGACCCACGGGACAGCGAGGTCACAGAAGCCAATAAAGCAAAGAAAAGGCTTTTCAGAAAGGAGGTAACGGCCAAGCGTGCTGGACGCTGCCAAGAGCACAGCGAGGTGACCGGAAATGCCCGTTCATTCTGGACACCCACTCGGAGGTGACTTTGTCGTGAGTGATTTCGGCGGGGGCAGCAGACGGCGGGCGCGGAGAGGGATGGATTCAGTGAGGGCAGGGAGCTGACCGAGAGTCTGTGCTCTGACAGGGAGCCCAGAAACAGGGCCGAGCTGGGAGGAGAGGGGAGGTCAAGGCAGGGTTGTGTAAGCTGGGAGATGCTTATGCACATTTGCAAGCTGGCAGGAAGAGCCTGGGAGGGAGGGCGGGGTTGCAGGTCCCCCCTTCAGTGCCTTCCCACACAGGCTGTGCTGAAGCTCCCCTGAAGACCATGAATAAATGATTAAAGATCGACATCGATCCACAGACCTGAGGCCCATTTTATTTCTGACTCCTGTCTTTCCAGTGGTTGCTCTGAATGGATATTAAGAAGGCAACCCCTGGACCCTAATAACAATATCAGCCTCCCTGCACTTGTGAAACTCTTGAAACCCATTTCCCAATGTCCTTTTCCAGCTGGTGGCTCTTCTCACCCTGGCCATGGCCCATTTGCAGAGAAGGGTGGGGCAGTGGCCTGTCCCCACTGCTGCCCTAATTCTGGCTGGCAGGAGCTGGTGGGAGGCGGGGAGAGGGATCGCAGAAGGATGGGGCTAGATGGAGAGATCGTCTGTAACAGCCAGAGATCCTTTGTCTCGAGGAAATTTGGACACTTTTGACAAGAGGCTTTTTTCTTTTTTTTTCAGAGTATGTCTTCGAGAAGGTTTCTCTTCAAAAGACCAGGGCACGTCTGAGGCATTCTCTTTCCCCCCCCACCCCCCCCCCCCGCACTATAAGGCCATAAATTTCCCTCCCTAATCTCCTCTCCTGCTCTGTGAGTTACAGCAGCTCCTGAGTCATTTATTATTCATCATTATCACAGTGACACATCCAGCCATCTAATTCATTGTCTCCCAGCGCTAACTTCATCTCCTTCCTTGAATACTCACCTGGCTGGAATCTCTTCTGACAAACTCCTGGCACCACTCTGGCATTATCTTCCCCCAAACAGGCACGATCCTTTTAGAACTTTATTGGCGATCTCTTAAAAGAGCCCTTCAGAAACAGTCGGGGCCTCAGTGTATCACGGATCACTTAGCACTTAGGGAGGACAAATGAGGACTCAGCGTGACTGCCTGTTCTCGCTGTACTGCCAAGGAAATTCAAGGCGCCACCTCCGAGGTCTCCCCGGGGCCAGGGAAGGCATCCAACATGTCCCCTGGCTCATAAGTGACTCCACTGACTGCCTCATCCGTGGACTGTCTGGGGAGGGTGGAGGATGAAGCCAGCGTCCTGGATTCTCACAGGTGGGCTGGGAAGGGCTGTGTGTTCTCAGATCCCCTCCTGTCGCCCCACAGCTGGTTCCCACCCAAGTGATGCCCCCAAACTTCACCCCATCAAAACCTGCCCTCCCTATTTATTTCTGTTCCTTTTAGGGACCTGCCTCTGCTCGCTGACCTAAGGCAATGCTGTCCTGTTGAACATTCTGCGATGATGGAGGATGATATTCTCCATCTGCACCATCCAGTATGGTGGCCACTGGCCACGCGAGGCTCTTGAGCACTTGCCATGTGGCTCACGCAATCGAGAACTGCATTTTTAATCTCATTTAATTTTAAGTTAACATTAAATAGCCACACATGGCCAGTGGTGACCAGTTGGAGAGGCAGGTCTAAGGGGGAGGGGGGACTTATCTGTTCATCCAGCACATGACTTTCCCGGAAAACAGTCCAACTAACACCCACCAAGTTCCTGCCACATGCTGGGCTGTGGGCTGGGTGTGTTCTGTTCATTGTCTCACTTCATTGTCGTGACAACCAGGTGAGGTAGGTACCATTATATCCCATTTTACAGACGATAAGACTGAAGCTGGGGGAAGGTAAGCCAAGTGGCTAAGAAGGGATTCAGAGGTTGGCAGTCCAAGAGGGTGTCTAGGGGAATGTGGGCAGGCTTTCTCCACCACGCGGGGTCCCTGTGATAGGCTTGGCTCCCAGACTGTCTCACCTCGCTGGGTCTCCTGAGGAAGGTGTTGCTGGATGAAAAGCAGAGATACATCATTTTAGCAGGATCACACAGATTCCCACTGCATGCACATGTGAAAAGTGTAGCCTCTTTATTCCTCTATAAGGTAATCTGATCTTCCTCCCAGACCCCCTTGTAGCTGGAGGAAGGGGAAGGGAAGAAGAAAACAAAATTTCGTCCAATTTTGTAAACACGGCATCCTTCCATAATCTAAATAGTCTCTGTAGTCACTTCAGGGTTTCTCTGCCCTCGGGTCCCCAGAAGTCCCCCTCACCCTTCAAGGTGGTATCTGGCTAATGTGGACGGTGGGTAGTTTTATGACCTTGTAGCCCCAGGGGAAAGGGGCCCTGGACTCTATCGCATCCTCAGATGAACATGTGGCCGGTGTCTGCTAAGAAGAACTGGTTACGTAATTCTCAGGGCTCAGAGCCAAAGGAAAATGTGGGGCACTTGGTTCAAACACTGCTATGCATTTCAAGATGGTGACAGCAGAGCATTAAACCAAGCATATGCCCTTCTGAGCACAGGCCTTGTGGACTGCACAGGCCACACGCCCACAAAGCTGGCCCTGCTCCCAGGGTCTGTGTGCAGACCTGCCACTTGTGAGGGTCCATTGCTGGGTGAAGGGGTGAAGGAGGTCTGTTCTCCTGGGGCCTGGTCAGAGCTGCAGTCGACCCTGACCTTTCTCGCCTCTGGGAGGGGTGCTGTGCCCCATCCCCGACCAGGGCCCAGGAGGTCAGGCCTGCAGCCCACGTATCCCTGCCCACAGGTCCCAACCCCAGGTCAAGGCAGAAGTCCAGCTTCCTCATCCTTCTCAAGGGAGTGTATTTCTGGTTCCACCCACGTCACATAACAGGGGCACTTGGAGGAGGGGGACTCAGGGCTTTCCCTCTTCCTACCAGCTGGGGCAGGGCCGCCTGGGAGGCCACCTCCCCCCTTCCCAGATCCTGAAAAGAAAGTGAAACAGAAGCCCCTGTGTAATGCTCCCACCCATGTGCACCTCCAGTACCAGGAGAGGCGTGTATGAATGACACAGCTCAGCTCCCTGTGCCCACGCCCCACTTCCTGCAAAAGCCACTGGGCTTGAAGGGGCAGATTTTCCTGATTCAGACCACCAGGCCTGCTTCTAGATCTACTAAAGGAGGAGCTAAAGTATTTCCAGAATTCTTACCTCTCTTGACCTAATCTGTATCTTGCTGCAGACTTGAAAATCCTATTTCATGCATCATATTAACTCTCCTCCTGTTTGCAGAGCTGCTGTAATGGCCTCAGTCCCCTACCCTGCCTCCCAAGAGACTGAAGCGGCTTTGTGTTCACATCCTAGGAGTCTTGAGCGGTCAGCAGACCAATTTCATGAAGTCAAGGGCCGGAAGGAGAGGAGGCGTGGCCCGTGGTACACACGCTATATGGAGACCTCCCTGCCTGTGTGGGTTCCCTGTGCTGGAGGCGGCAGGATGGGAGATTCAGAGTCTTCCCCTTCTCAGGTCAGATCTGAAAGAGGAACAGGTGTGAATTTAGCAAAGGTGAGTGGAGATGAGCAGGTGCACGGAAAGGGGGCGGGGGCACATGGTGAGGCGTGGGCAGGTACCTGCCCTGTCTTAAAGGAGCGGCCATCAGCTCTGGCTCACATCTGTCGCAGGAGGAATGCCCACCCACTAATGTTTTTATGGATTTTTATGCGTTTAATGTTGACAAATTATTCCAAATTTTAAAAAAAATCATAAAACAATGTGCGTACATCAGGTAGGAACCAAACAAAGCATGTTTTCTGGCTGAATCTAACCACTAAAAGAATAGAAGAAAGACTGGATTCTGGGAATTGGGGCATGGGATTAGGCCATCAGGGCAGATCTTACAGGGTTATAGTTGTATTCTGGGAGAGATGTATTCTCACTACTTGGAAACTGTGACATGGTCTTAAACAGGGTAAAGGCGCCTCCAGTTTTGCATTGTGAAGAGACCCCACTGGTTGGCACATGGAGCCTGGGTTGAAGGGGAGAAAGTACCCTTGGGAAGGCCATTTAGGAGAGAGTTAATAAGGCAGGAGCAGTGAGCAAGGAGAGATATTTAGAAGGTAACATTGATGGGACTTAGAGATAGACAATCATTAAATAAGCCAATAGTTTATTCCCTGGCACAGTCCAAAACTATACGTTAAAATCAATGCCAGAATTCATTGATATATACACACTACCAAATGTAAAATAGATAGCTAGTGGGAAGCAGCCTCATAGCACAGGGAGATCAGCTCGGTGCTTTGTGACCACCGAGAGGGGTGGGATAGGGAGTGTAGGAGGGAAATGCAAGAGGGAGGGGATATGGGGATATATGTATACATATAGCTGATTCACTTTGTTATACAGCAGAAACTAACACAACATTGTAAAGCAATTATACTCCAATAAAGATGTTAAAAAAAAAATCAATGCCAGAATTGACAGGTATGTCGATCAACGGGAACTCTCATTCCTGGCTGACGGGAATGTACAATGTACACCCACCTTGGATTTCAGTCTGACAGTTTCCTTAGAAAGTTAAGGATACACTTGCCATATAACCCAGTCTTTTCACTCTTAGATGTTTACCCAAGAGAAATGAAATCTTGTGTCCACACAAAGTCTCATACACCTGTCTATAGCAGCTTGGTTCAAAATAGCCAAAGCTGGAAACAATCAAAATGTCCATCAATGAGTGAATGGATAAAGAAATTGTGGTATATCCATTCAGTGGAATACTACTCAGCAAGAAAAAGGAACAAACTGTTGATATATAACAGTGTGAATGACTCTCAAATCACTAAACGGAGCGAAAAAAAAAAATTCATACTGTATAACTTCATGACTTCATACTGTATAACAGTTCTGTGGCTTTTTTAAAATGGATTTTATTTTGGTAACAGAAGCTTTTATTTCCAAGTCTTCTTTATATAAAATTCTTAAAAAATGTAGAGTAATCAAAAGATTGATCAGTGGTTGCCTGGGGATAGGAAGGGGAAGGATGAATTACAAAGGAGCATGAGGAAACTTGGGAGGGAGCATGATGGAAATGTTTATCTTGAGTATAGTGATGGATATATAAATATATATGTCAAAATGGATCAAATGGTACACTTTATGTAGGGTTTCACATACTTCAATTATACCCAAATAAAATTGGGGAAAAAAAATTAACTCAAGGAACTGGAATAAAACATTCCTAGAAGGGAGAGTCCCACCTCCACACTGGCCCTGCATTTCCATGTCTTTTAAGCCAACTCTTATTTTAGATAGAAAAGAAAAAGAAGGGGAAAAAAGACACCAAAGTGAGATATTGCTTTACAAAGGTGTTGGAAATACATTAAACACTAAGATGTTACCATAATAAATTAAACGAATAATTTCAGGTCTGTCTTGCCACATATTTTAAAATATTTAAAATTAACAAGGGCAGAGAAAGCTAATGTTGAGCCAATAATTTTAATGAATATATCCCATTATGTTCTAATGAGTGGCTTTTTTAAAATGGATTTTATTTTGGTAACAGAAGCTTTTATTTCCAAGTCTTCTTAAAGGAGCTTTCCTATTACATATTTTTAAAGTACAATTGGAAGAGAACAGTCCGTTTTAAATCATTATATTACCGTGTGACCACAGGGCAGAGGCTTGGAAGTTAGCCGATTCTTAGGTTGATTCCCAGTTCTGTTTCTTGTTTATTCTGAGGCCTTGAACAGTCCCTGTGCCTGCAGAGCCTCAGTTTCCCCATTTGTAATGTGGAGGTAATGACCCCTCACCTCCAGGTGGCACAACATGCTATAGAGTCTGAACATGGATTTCTTCTCTATACAGGAGTAGCTGATAATTATTAGATTTTATACTCAGTCCTAAAACTGCTATCTCCCAAAAGGATATTCAAAGCGAGAAAACTGTAATGCTCGCTCCCTTCATTCAAGTCTGAATGTTGATCATACAATGAACTGGACCCTTCTGGATGCATCCTAAACCATTCTCAAAATAATCCCTCTTTCCGTTCCTCACCCGCCAGGCAGCTGAGCTGCAACTTGACAAAACATGAGGCTAGTCCTCTTTTACAGCCAGACATTCATCTGCAGGCTCCTTGGCATACCAGTCCCTCCAAGTTATTTTATTATTTCCAAGAAACCGTAACTGAGCCTTTTTATATACCTTCTGTTGTCATAGGAGCGATCACACATAAAGCATGTCAACCAAGGAGGAGAAAGTCATCTTTCATCTAGTTTACTGTTTCCTTGAGACAGCCACTCTCTGGGTCTGGTCAGTTGGCATCTTTGATGGGGTTATTGAACACGGCTTTTCAAATAAAGAAAACCTGGAGAACGTGGGAGGTCCTTTTTTTGGTCAGTTCAGCCCAGGGTTTGGGGTAGAAGGAAGCTTCTCTCACCACGTGGGGGTCTGGTGGGCCCCATGCAGGCCTGCAGCTGGTCCTGGGCTCGCGCAGCCAAGGTGCTGAGCTTGGCCTAGATGCTAAGCACAGAGACAGCTGTGCTGGCTCTCAGCCACCTTTCCCTCTGTGGCTCCCCTTCCTGTGGTTTCAGAACAGGACCCCAACTCCCTGTCCGAGCTCAAGGTTTCCTCCCCGTTTTCCTGTCACATCTCCTTGTTCCAAAGAGGCAGATCTCAGTTTCCCAGTCTTTAAAATGGGGATAGAAACAATGCCAGCATGAATTTTTTGCCTTTCATTTGTTTTTTGTTGTTTTGTTTCATTTATTTATTTATTTATGGCTGCGTTGGGTCTTCGTTGCTGTGCACGGGCTTTCTCTAGTTGCCGTGAGCGGGGGCTACTCTTCGTTGCAGTGTGCGGGCTTCTCATTGCAGTGGCCTCTCTTGTTGTGGAGCACGGGCTCTAGGCACGCGGGCTTCAGTAGTTGTGGCTCGCGGGCTCTAGAGCGCAGGCTCAGTAGTTGTGGCGCACGGGCTTAGTTGCTCCACGGCATGTGGGATTTTCCCAGACCAGAGCTCGAACCCGTGTCCCCTGCATTGGCAGGCGGATTCTTAACCACTGCACAACCAGGGAAGTCCCTTTCATTTGTTAATAAGGATTAACTCAGACGGTGGCATGAACACGGCTGGTAAATTACCCAGAGGTGAGCCGCTGCTGTTACTAACGTTCCTCCTTCTTGTCAGGAGCCGCTAGCTCGCCCCTTCCCGCCCCAGGCCCGGCGACGTGCACATCAACAATCCTTGTTTGCAGACTGCATGCTGCAGAAGCACTCCTGCAGGGAGCCTCCTCGACCCCAGAATCGTTCAACGACTCAGGAGCGCCAGGCTTCCCCCAGGCATCTCCTGCCTTCCTGAAGGGACACCCCGAATCCCCCAAAAGTTCTGAAAAGTAATTTCAGTCTCATTTATTCTGGAAACAAACAACGGCAGAGGGAGAAGGAAGATGATGAGCAGAATTAAAGGACAAAGCAGAGGGGGACCCAAGGTACCTGGGGTTGGGGAGAGTGAGGGAGGGGGTGTGAGGCGGGTGCAGCGACCCCACACTCGGTGCAGACTGGGACAGCCAGGTGAGGGGTGCAAGAGGAGTGGTGCTGGGGCGTGGTCAAGGCGGGGCCAGGGTGGGCGGGGCCCACGGGAATGGGGCCTGGATGCACAGGTCAGGAGTAAGGGGAGGATGGGGAGGGGATGGGGCGGGGCAGGGTCCAGCTGGGACTACATCTTCCAGGATGACTGAGTTATCCAGAAAAAGAAACAAGGGGAAGAACATATCAGATGGAGACAACAGCATATCCACATGTAATGGGTTGAACTGTGTCCCCCAAAATTTTATATGTTGCAGTCCTAACCCCCAGCACCTCAGAATGTGCCTATATGTGGAAATAGGGTCCTTGTAGATGTAATTAGTTAAGATGAGGTCATTAGTGTGGGCTCTAGTCCAATATGACCTGTGTCCTTATATGGGGAAAATGTGGACCCAGGGACAGTCACACCAGGAGATGCCATGGGAAGGTACACGGGGAGAAGACGGCCATCTACAAGCCCAGGAGAGAGGCCTAGAACAGATCCTCACAGCCCTTGGAAGGAACTGACCCAGCCCACACCTTGTTCTTGGACTTCTGGTCTCCCGAACTGTGAGACAATAAATGTATGTTGTTTAAGCCATCCCACCTGTGGTACTTTGTTACAGCAGCTCTAGCAAATTAATACACAAACTAAGTCACAGAGACCCAAAAATGTGTGGTGAGGGGAGAGTGTAGACAATTTGTAGCAAAGTAGGAAGTAGGAATGGGGGCAGATGAAGCTCTGGAGGAGGGGGGCTCAGAGTGCCACGTTTAGGAGTTTGAGGTTTATCTTTGGTCAGTGGAGAGGCATGGAGGCCTTCAAGTTGGGAACGAAGGTGGTCAGTTTGGTCTTTAGAAGATTCACCCTGGCTGCAGAGTGGAGGAGACTGCCACAGCCATGTGAGCAAGAGACGAAGTTCCAGGGCAGGGAGTAGAGAGAAGAGAGCAGCCCCAGGAGAGTGTAGGCATTCTCATCCACAGGACTCCACAGGGGCCAGCAGGGTGGGGTGAGGAATGTATCACTTTGCTCAGGATGACTTAACAAAGTCCACGGACTGGGCAGCTTCAATAACAGACATTATTTTCTCCCAGTTCTGGAGGCTGGAAGTCCAAGATCAAGGTGTCAGCAGGGTTGATGTCTTCCGAGGCCTCTCTCCGTGGCTTGTAGATGGCCGTCGTCTCCCCGTTTCTTCACGTGATCTTCCTTCTCTGTGTGTCTGTGTCCTAATCTCCTCTTCTTATAAAGACCCCAGTCCTATTGGGTGAGGGCCCACCCATATGACCTCGACTTAATATTTTTTTCAATTCAAATGTACATTTATTGAGCCCACATTAAATGGGACCCGGTTAAGAAATGTCCCTCTCCTCATCTGTGTACAATGCCCTGCTGTTTCTCCTTGGCTCAGCACATCCTGTTTCACTAGTCTTCCACAAACATGCAGTCTTCCAGAATGGAGACTTCTGGACAGAAGTTCAGAATCTTCTCAGAAGTGATGGGCAGCAGAGTGGTGGTCACAGCTAGTGGAGACCTTGCTTCATTTGAAGCCTGCCTGGAAACAGACTCGGGGCTTCCCGTGGAGGGGCCGCCCAGGCTGGGCTGGCGCTCCGGTCGTGGGCTCCTTGGAATAAACAACACTGACATCTGCATGATCTCTACTCACAAAGTGTAATTGGAATTGGAATTGACTGTTGGCCCCTTGGCTTCTTACCCAAAGCTGAGGGTAGTTGACTCCACATCGGTAGAGAATTCGAAAGCCTGCGTGTGTTCTCCAAACACATATCAGGGGCCGCCTCCAGGGGTGGCATGAGGAAAGTCACAGCCGGGACAAACAGGGCAGAGAAGACCAGGGCCTTCCTGAGTGAACGTGGTGCCAGCGGAAAGCTGGCAGGGGGGGCAGCCCTGGAGCGTGCTGGACGAGCCTTCCGCTGGGCTTGTACAGAAACTTCAGCTCCGAGACCCTGAAAGCAGCATTCCCAGCTGGCTGTCAACCTCATTTTAATGTAATTACCTCTTTAAAGACCCTATCTGCAAATAGAGTCACATTCTGAGTTGCTGGAGGCTAGGACTTCAACATATGAATTGGGAGGATTCGGTATACAATTCAGCCCATAACAAAGGGATACCCACGTTTCTGTGACAGTTTTCACTTCAAACCCATGGCTCATACACACCACTATATATAAAATAGATAACCAACAGGGACCTACTGTATAGCACAGGGAGCTCTACTCAATACTCTGTAATTACCTATATGGGAAAAGAATCTTAAAACAGAGTGGATATATGTATATGTATAACTGATTCACTTTGCTGTACAGCAGAAAGTAACACAACATTGTAAATCAACTACACTCCAATAAAAAAAAAAAAAACCCACAGCTCACTGTGAGACATCAGAGAGCGCCCAGGACAGGCCAGCTGCTCCCCTAGCCTGGCCCTCACAAGGTGACCATTTTCCTTAGGAATGCATTACTGTCTGGGCTTGGCCTTCTCCTGCAGGCTCAAAATCTAATTTCCATTCCTTCGAGTGATATTTATGGCGCTGGCTCTGCACCAGACGTGATTTTGTGGGCATAGTGAATCGTTCCATCTCTCTTGGGGGTGAGCGGGCATGAACCAAGTTCAAAGAAAGTGATAAATAAAAACCATGATGTCGATTTAATGATTTGCCCTGAGAAATACAGTTATCGGATGTGCAGGTTGACAGGACAGCACCCTCTCTCCCTCTGGCAGGCTCTAAGGAGAGCCAGACAACCGTCGGCTGGCCACTTTGGTGGAAAGACCTCCTTCCACACCATCTGCACTCTCCTGTCCGGCAGGCAGGCCTCCAGGAGAATGACTGTGATGCCCACAAATTCACCTGATTAGCCTGGAACCAGAGCAAGGAGAGTGATGTAAACTCGGGCGGGGGCTCTGGGTCTAGGCAGCCGGAGGCTCCCTCTCCCACGCCACGGATCAGCCTTGGCAGACAACCTGGATGCCAGAGCCAGGATGCCTCCTCCCTGGCCCAGCTGGACGGCTCTGCCCACAGCTGTCTCCAGGCCCCGGCTTACCAGCCCCTTCTCGCTATGTGATATTTCTCCCAACAGGATATGATTCAATTGGCCAGGTTTCCATCAACTGAAATTGCAAACCCACGCCTGGCTGCCTCTGGGCAGCTGCCCCCAAATCCCGGAGCACAGGAGTCCTGGGTCTTTCCAAATCCTCCTGCCTCTTATTTACTCACAGACCTTGGGTCCCACTGCAGGCAGACCCAGCCAAGGCAGAGATATGACTTTTCTAGGCAGCCTTGTTTTCCAGGGGCAGATTTTCGGTAAAGCTAACAAAGCCCCAGTGTCAGGACCCCTCCTTTGCTTGGGCCCCTGGAAGAGCTGGAAGATGCTGGCAGTCATAGAGTGTTCTAGGTGGGGAGAGAAGTCAGCTTGGATTCAGCAAACATGTCTCGTAAATTGCCTAAAGGCATTGCAGAAGAAAAAGGCCTAGATTCCCAGGGCTCCCGGTACTTGGTGGTGATTTCCTTTTTCACTGTAAATCAACATTTGCTTTCATACCTAAATCCATATTGTATTTATGTATCCTTTCTCTCAAAGAGAATCCCTCAAATGGGCTGAGCGTCAGGCCTCACAAACCTTGGATCCACTCCTGCTGGTTTCTCCTGAGTCCTCATCCGTAGGGTGCTGGGGATGAGGGGCTGTCCCCTGAGACAGGCAGCTCCATGCCTTCCAGACTCACAGGGACACTGCCCAGGAAGTGGGTTGACATCATGAGTCAGAGAAAGATCCTGAGTGTTTCAGCATATGAGCCTTCAGTGTGTAATGGACGTTGGAGCTGAGCTCTGCGCCCCCTGCACCGGGCCCTCCCCCAGGAGACCACCGTGGTTGGGAATACCTGCTTGGCTGGTGTAGCCCTGGGCTTCCTTCACATCACTGAAGGGAGAGACTGACATCTCTCAATAACACATGGCTCACGTTCCCTTCCAGGGACATTTTTCAGCTTTGGAAAAAAAAAACAACAACCTTTGAAAATTCCTTTAAAAGTTAAATCATGGCTTTTGGTGCCTCCCCCTCCAAATCAAAAACATGTATTTTTGCAAACGACAGAAACATCAGACGTCTTCCCTCCGTCATCTGTCTGGCGGACACGTTTTTCGGGACAGGCGCTTGCAAGGCTTAATTTATGTCTCTGTGTGTTTTAAGGAGCTCTGTGCGATCATTCTGATCTGGGAGTTGCCGTGTGGCTCTGCATCTCTCAGTCTGGTCCTTCGTCCTTTCCTCACCTGTGGAGAGTCCGCCCCGCCCTGCACTTTGTTTTGTATCTGTCGGTCCCCTCCCCACCCCACCTCCCTGCAAGCCAGTCCATCTGGGACTGTTCAGGTGCCAGATCCTCCATTCAGGATAAAGTCTCTCACATATGGATGACAGCGCAGGAGGGGCAGTAGCCAGGGCCCCGTCCCCACGTGACCTGGCGGCAGGGCTCTGGACACTGCCAGCTTCACCTCCTCCAGCCTCCATCCATCCTCCCTTTCAGAGTCTGCTCCTCCCCGCAGCCGGAGTCCCTGACCCTTGCCTCCTGAGTGCACAATGGACACCCCTCCCTTTTCAAGAGCTGCACCCTCTGTGTGCAGCCATCACCAGAACTAATGCATGATTCATAGGAGGCTCTTGGCCTGGCAGTGGGCACCAAGGGAGAGGATCATGAGGCCCACAGAAGCACTTTGGTTCAAGGAACATTCTTTCCCTGATGCACATCTGTGCTGCCTGGAAGTGCATTAAAAAGAATCAGATGAGCTGCTACTTCTAAAATAGGTTTTGAATGTGTAAAGTGCCCGGGGAGGGCGGGGGGTGGTGCCGAGCTGACGAGGCGCTGGGGCTTCTTTCCGGCTTTGTCCCTGAAGCACAGGGCACCATGTGCCCTGCAGTGGCCCTCCTGGGCAACTGGGAAGGGGACAGGCCTGCCTCAGCAAGGGCAGGGCCACCGAGGCCTCCAAGCCTCAGCACTCTGCTCTCTCACCAAGTAATGCTTTTTCGGCTCTGTGGCTGTTTCAGGAAGAGGAACGGGTCTCTTATCCTGGCCTAACAAGGAGACCCCCCTAGAGCCTTTGCCAGAGACCCAGAGTCGAGCAAAGCAGCCAAGGGGCCCAACCTCCTGGCTGGTCCCAGCTCCACCACCCACCACCTGGGGGCCTTGGGCAAGTCACCGAGCCTGGAATCAGGAAAAGTGTGCCCTCCTGACTTGAAACTCCCCAGGTGGTATCCCACCGATTTCTGATCTGCTTTTCTCTGTGCAGACCACATACTACAGGATATTCAGAAGGACCATTTGTCCTGGGGACCAGACCTACAGAGCTGCGAGCCAAGGAATTCTGAATCAACAAGGCATGTAAGGCCAGGACTTGGGCACAAGGCACATGCATTAATCATGGCTTCCAGTGGTAAGTGACTGAAATCCCAACACAACTTGGTCTTGCAAAAAGAGGGAACTTATTAGCGTCTACAGGTGAAAGGTGGCTTCAGGCATAGCTGTATCCAGGCACAGAAACAATGTTGTCAAGACTCACTGCTGTTGCAGCCCAGGACTGTGCTTTCCGCTCTGTTGGCTTCACTCTCAGGCAGGCCTGGTCCCCATGGTATCTTCATGGCCTTGCCAGCCCTGTGGAAGACAGTCTCTCTTGTCCAAGGGCTCAGCTAAAGTCTCAGGGCCAGTCGCTGTGACCAGGAAGATGGATTGCATAATAAACTTGGGGATGAGGGGTGTCATCACTACCCAATCCACAAGAAACGGTGGGGGGAGACCCCTAGAGGAAATTCGGAGTCATCAGAAGTCTATGGACAGCATGCTGGGAAAAGAAAAACATTAGGCATCCAACATGGAGTGAAGACAGGGACCCCGTCGCTGTTCTGTGCTCTTTAGACGGATGGAGCCAAGAGTTCATGGCTTGGGGTTTGTTCTCCCTGGTGGTCAGATTAGAGGAGTGGGCATTTGAGCTGAGCTGCCGAGAGTACAAGCTTGCCAGGTGGGCAAGGAGGGAAAAGCATTCCAAGCAGGGGGAACAGCACAAGCAAAGCCATGAGGTGTGAAGATGCAAGGCACATTCATAACCGGTGAGCCGCATCCTTGCAGGCATCATGCAGATGGCAGGGAGCACAGAGTGGGAAGAGCTTTCATCTGGAAGTCAGGCAGACTCAGGTGCAAACCCCAGCTCTGCCACCTGCTCTCTGAGATCTCAGCAGGTCCCTACCCCTCCCTGGGTTCTGGTTTCCTCCTCAGGACACTGATGTGCGCTGGAGATTGAGTCCCTTATGTCACTACTGTTCTCTGTGAGCTTCCACTACCTGGGATATTTGCTGGCTTTACAGTGCCACCTGCTCTACCCACCCACCTCACACACACCCACAGCTGTCACCTGGGCCTTGCCTTCCCTGCTCTACTCCGTAATGCAAAAAACTACACTTCCCAAGCTCACTTGCCCTCTGGCTTCTGGGTAAGTTTGATTAATAGGAGGCACTAGTGCATGAAAAGATGCTCAAAGTCACTAATCATTAAAAAATACAAATCAACAATGAGATATCACCTCACACCCGTGAGGATGGCTGCTATTTAAAAAACAAACAAAGACAAAAAACAAACAGAAAATAACAAGTTGTTGGCAAAGACGTGGAGAAACTGGAACCCTTGTGTGCTGTTGGTGGGGATGTAAAATGGTGCACCTGCCGTGGAAAACAGTATGGTGCTTCCTCAGAAAAATCAAACCTAGAATTACAGTAGGATCCAGCAATTCCACCTCTGAGCTTATACAAAAAAGAACTGACAGCAGGACCTCAAAGAGAAATTTGTACACCTCTCTTCATAGTAGCATTATTCACAAGAGCCAAAAGGTTTCGAAGCAACTCAAGTGTCCATCAACAGGTGAATGGATAAACAGAATGTCCATCCATACAATGGAATATTATTCAGCCTTAAAAAGGAAGGAAATTCTGACACATGCTACAACATGGATGAAACTTAAGGACGCCATGCAAAGTGAAATAGGCCAGTCACAAAAAGACGAACACTGAAAGATCATACTTACATGCGGCAGCTAAAGTAAAGGCGGTTGGGGAGAGCGGGGGAGAAGCCGACTAGGAGCTGCAGTTTAATGAGGAGAGTTTCAGTTGTGCAAGATGAAAGCAGTCAGGAGACGGATGGTGGTGACAGTTGCACAACAATGCGAATGTGCTTAATGCCACTGAACTGTACCCTTAAAAATGGTTAAGGTGGTAAATTTTATGTTATGTGTATTTTATCCAAATATTTAAAAATTGGAAAGCAGGATGAAAGAAGCCAGGGTCTGTCCCCCCACTTCTCTGCACGGCTCCTTTTCCTCCACGTCTCTGGCACCTGCTACACAGTCCCTGCCTCTGCAGCCCCAGCTCCCGAGGGTCCGTGGCTCTTGCTGTGACTCCCCCTTCCACCAAATGGCTCCAGATCCCGGGGTCCAGTATAACCACTTCCTCCCTTGGCCTCTCCAGTCCCAGGGATGGTTGTGGCTTCCTGCATTGCTAATCCATGAGTTGCCTCACTTTACCCTTTGGCTTCTCCACTCTCTAATCACTAGAGTAACCAACAAACTCACTCTTTTTTAAAAATACCCACATGGTTTCTCTTTTCCTAACTGGGATTGTCTGTTACACAACCTAATGAATGGCTCATGTGGCAGGCATGGGCACAGGGCTCCCCGGCAGCAACTCCGGCAATCCCCACTGGCTGGGGTACGCTGGAGGCCGAGGAAGTCCAGATATTTGGTGCCTCTGGGGCAATCTGCTCAACCAGGAACCAAACCTACAACAGCCAGCCTGGAGTCTCAGCTTCTCCGGCAGGTAGGAACACATGAGGCAGACACTCCACGGGTGCAAAGGAGAAGCCAAAAGAAATCCACAGGACTTCCCAGGTGGCACAGTGGTTAAGAATCCACCTGCCAGTGCAGGGGACGTGGGTTCGAGCCCTGGTCCGGGAAGATCCCACGTGCCGCGGAGCAGCTAAGCCCGTGCGCCACAACTACTGAGTCTGCGCTCTAGAGCCCACAAGCCACAACTACTGAGCCCGAGAGCCACAACTACTGAAGCCCGTGCACCTAGAGCCCTTGCTCCGCAACAAGAGAAGCCACTGCAATGAGAAGCCCGCACACCACAACGAAGAGTATCCCCTGCTCGCCACAACTTAGAGAAAGCCTGCGCGCAGCAAGAAAGACCCAACGCAGTTTTTAAACATAAATTAAAAAAAAAAAAAAAATCCACAAGCATCCTTCAGATGGTGGTTCTGTAAGTAGCTGCAGTGTTTCATTATTTACTCCTGCTTGAAGCGGACGCTCCTCAAGCCTGGGCTGGGCCCTCCTCCAACTCCACCTCACCCCCGGGCCCTCTTGTGCCCTGGGCTGGCCGTGGGGACTCCCTGGGAGGTTGGTCCTTGACCCCCTCAAATCCTCCTACTTCTCAGATTGGCCCCTGGTTCAAGATCTGCGATCCTGAGCTCATCTCCCTCCGGTCCCCAGGGACACCCACACTGTCCCCCAGGGCAGCCCTTCTGCAAAGCCAGGAGAGAGAGGAAAACCTGCCCCACTCAGGTGGGCCGCGGCCCGGCTGGATCCTGATGCTTCTTGTTGAGAGCCGCCAGCCTGCCTCCCAGGCACAGGCAGACAGCATGGAGAGGCCTCCTCACTCTGGACGGGTCAGAGAGGCAGACAGCAAAGGTAAGACCCTGCCAGGCTGCCTCCCGCCCTCGCCACACCCAGTTCCACTCCCCATTTGTTCTGCAACGCCGCCCAGCCCCCCACACCACAAGCGGCTCGGAAATCTGAGAGGGTCGCCATCGGCGCTCTGCACCAGGCCCTTCTCGGGAAGAAGTTGAGCATCGCCAATGTCCTCCTCCAGCCCCAAGCCCAGCACCTGTGGCCCCAGCACCACAGCGCCGCCCTGGCCCTCAGCCAGCCCTCAGCTCTGCACTGGGTGGGCTCCGGCCCCCCGGAGTTCCCTGCCGTGTTTAGTGGGGGCAGAGCCAGGAAACAGCCGTCCTGAGCGCCACCTCCTTTTGGGGCTGAGTCCGCTGGGTGCTGGAGACCACAGGCCTTGCCCGGTATTCACAGATCCAAACTCAGCGGGTGTCCGAACCTTGTCGGGCCCCATGGGAAACCCAGCCCTGGCCACCCCCTGAGCAGGAGGCTGAGCTCCCCTCTTCTGCTCCCACCTTGGCCCATAAAATAGAAACTGCTTTCACTTCCACCTCCCAGGAAGACTGTGGGAGAAGCACCCACCCGGCTCTCCCTTCTCCATCCCTGTCATGGTGGACAAGTGACCACTGTGATCGATTGTCAAGGGCGGGGCTGGTGCTACCATGAATCAAAGACCACCCTCTGCCCGCTCACCCTGGGCAAGGGCCTGGTGGATGGGGAAGAAGGGACAGTCCTTCCTGCCTCTCACGTGGGGTGGCAGCCCCCTCCTCTGCCAGCCCACGCACCTGGGCAGCAGGACCTGGCCTTCCGCTCTGGCTCCCCCGTGTAGTGGTGCAGACCAGACTCCCCTCACTGGCCCAGCTGGAGTCTAGGTGGCAGGGGTAGGTGGAGGAAGTCAGGCCGGGAGCAGGGAACCCCCTTCCGGTTTGAGAACTCTTAGGGGCCTAATTCCTCTCTCTGGTCTCAAACTGTGCTTTTATTCTTTGAACAAAAGAATAACAAGTTGCCTGGAGTCAGGAACCATTTGCTCTTCGGCTGCAGCAGCATTGTTCTCTGCTTGGGGGCCTAGCTGGTGTCAGGGTGGGATGGACAGACAGAGGGGCGAGCCCGCGGTGGGCCACATCCAGCCCTCTGCTCCAGCCCAGAGCATCCTAGTCTCTTTTTAGAACCTTCCTTGGGGCTGAGACAGCGGAAGAGAACAATTTGTCATCTTGTCCCTGGGCTTAACCCATTAGTCTTTGTTCAGACAATCTCTTTAGACCTTAAATAAAGGATTCAGCTTCTTCCCAAAGAGCTGAGGACAGCAGGAAAGGCAGAGGCTGTTCAGGAGATTCTTCACAGTAAAGAAGGAAGTGACCTTGGGCCTCCTGTGTTTGGGGACAGTGTCAGGAGTTTATAAATATTCCCTCTTCCCATTGAGATAACCTCCCAGCTCAGCTGTACTGTGATAATGCTGACAATGGGCCTCTTCTGGTCCCCTTGGTCTGTCCACCAATTGACTGACACTTAGAGGGTGTAATGGGTTGGATGGTGTGTCCCCCAAAATTCATATCCACCCAGAACCTCAGAAGGTGACCTTATTTGGAAACAGGGTCTTTGCAGATGTAATTATTAAGGTTAGAGTTGAGATCATACTGAATCACGAGGTGCCCTAATCCAGTGAGAGTGTCCCTACAACAGAGACTGACCACCTTAGAAACAGGGGGCCTGGCTTCCAGGCCAGGAACACCTCGGTAAAGGAACTTGCAGACCCTCATCCACCAGTTCTTCTCTGCCCGTGCCCACCCATCCCCATGAGGGTCAGGATGTCCCCAAGCCCTTCCTCCACTTAGTAGACTATGCCCTGGGCGCACCCCAAGTCCCTGCCAACAGTTTACCCCAACCTAGTAGTCAGCAAACTCAGTGCAACTGGCACATCCCAGGAGACCTAAGGACAGAGCAGGGATGTCTGCCGCCAGCATCCTTTCTCTAGCCAGAAACGACTCCAAGTTATTCACAAACAGAATACCTCTTAAAGCAAGCCTGAAGATTACTTTGCAGCCCTTAACTTCATGAAGCGTTTAGACTTCCTTGGTTTAATGAATTTATGTGAAAATCTGGTTCTCCAAATCTGTGCATCCTCCTAAAAATAGTAATTCCGATCTCAGTGTGTTTTTCACAGTGTCGCCCCTTTGACACTAGCGATATTCTAAGCTTCATGAATTCCTTTAGTAACATGACATTCAACAGTTAGGTGGGATGTGTGGCACCCACTGCCATGCCTGACGCAAAATAAGCTCACAAAAGATATTTCTTGCTTGAAAGAAATGCAGTAAGGCATGGTGTTCTCTTGTCTCTGCAGTTACCGCAGTGCAATTCTGACTTTACCCCTGTGGAGTTAGCACAAGTTTCACAGGTTCAAGGGTACAGAGTCCAACAAGACTACACCCACTTCAGACACCAGCCACACTTTGGAGGCCCCCAGGCCACCCACAATTCTGACCAAGTAGCCACAAATCTGGATGGTTTTCACAACCCCCATCAGGTTCAACTATTTGCTAGAATGACTCACAGGGCTCAGGTAAGTGCTGTCCTTCTGGTTACAGTTTTATTATAAAGGATACAGATCAGGCCCAGCCAAGTGAAGAGGCCCCATGGCGAGGTCTGGGAGGATCTTCTGTTCCCTCTCCTCGTGAAGTCTGGGTGTGTCACCCTCCAGCATACCCATGTGTTCAACGATCGGGAAGCTCCACCAAGTGTCAGGGCCCAGAGCTTTTATTGGGGTTTCACTGTAGGTAGGACTAGTTGAATCACTGGCCAGGTGACTGAACTCAATCTCCAAACCTCCTACCCCATCCTACCCCCAAAGTTTGGGTTGTTTCTTAGTCCATTCATGCTACTATAACAAAATATAGACTCTCTATATAAACTGTATAGTCTATATTTTGTTATAGACTGGGTGGCTATAAACAGCAGTCTATAACACCATAGACTGGGTGGCTTACAAACAACAAACATTTATTTCTCACAGTTCTGGAGGCTGGGAAATGTGGGATCATGTCACCAGCAGATTCAGTGTCTGGTGAGAGCCTGCTTCCTGGTTCACAGATGGCCATCTTTTCACTGTGTCCTCATATAGCCAAAGGGGCTAGGAAGCTCCCTGGGGTCTCTTTTATAAGGGCACAGTCCCATTCATGAGGGCTCCACCCTTATGACCTAATCACCTCCCAAAGGGCCCACCTCCAAATACCATCAGATTGGGGGTTAGGATTTCAGCACGTGAATTTGGGGGAGACAAAAACATTCAGACCGTAGCAGGCTGACATCACCTGGCTCAAGGACCCAGCCTGCTAGTAACATGGTTGGTCTCTGGCGTGGCCACCCCCATCCTGAGTCATCTCAATAACCTAAACTTAGTTGTGGGCCTAGGGGTCCACCATGTATAACAGACACTCCTGTCACTCAGGGAATTCCAAAGATTTAGAAGCTCCCTCCCAGGAACCAGTCACATTCTTTATTACACAAGAGCTCAGATCTTGAGTGATTATTTTAATAGGAGGTGCAACTGAACACAACACCTGAGTTCTCAGATTCTGATGGCCACTCTCTAAACGTATCTGAGTTAATCCCACAGCCCCATGTGGCAGCACCTTCCAAGAAATGCCATTAGATAAAAACTATCAAAAGATATTGTGATCTATATCCCATCTATGACTCTCGAAGAATATCACACATGGATGCTTCTTCATATACCTTTTCCTGTCTTTTGGCATTTAAACCCTCCTCACCAAAGCTGCCCAGGCTCCTCTCTCCACTCCTTACTGCTGACTCCAAGAATTCAGCCCTGGGACTTCCCGGGTGGTCCAGTAGTTAAGACTCTGCGCTCCCATTGCAGGGGGCCTGGGTTCGATCCCTGGTCAGGGAACTAGATCCTGTAACCAAGATCCTGTGTGCTGCAACTAAGACCTGGCACAGCCAAATAAATAAATAAATATTTCTTTTTAAAAAAGAATTCAGTCCTGACCTGGGCCCCAGTAGCTCTCAATGTTTCCCCTCCTCCCCCAGGAAATAAGCTGAGCTACAAAGACCATGCCTCCAATTTCATGAATGAAAGGAAGAAACTTTCCAAGCTGTGATGGTTAATTTAATGTGTCAACTTGACTGGCTATGGGATGCCCAGATTAAACATTCTTTCTGGGTGTTTCTGGATGAGATTAGCAGTTGGATCAGTGGGATGGTCCCCAAAGTGGGTGGGCCTCATCCAATCCACTGAAGCCTGAATAGAACAAAAGACCGAGGAAGGAGGGATCCACCCCTTTTCAGTATGAATTTCAAAGTTTGAACCAAAAGGGCTGCTGATGAGCACTTGATTCCTAAGAACCAGATGCCCCTCCTCCCCCACTGGTTCCCTGGGCTCTTTGGATTTCAGGAGCAATTCATTTGAATTCCTGTTTCTAACCAACTGTTTCCTGAATTTCTAAGCAATCCAGGTGCCTACTACTTGGAATGAAAAGGAGAGCACGTGTGTCTGCCTGGCCTGATCATGAACTGTAGTCTTCAGAGGGGAGGTGATGCTTCTAGGCGTCCCCGGGTCATTCTCAACTGACCTCACCTGAGGACAGATGCAGTGAAGGGCACCCTTCCCTGCCCAGGGCCCTCCTCACAGACACCCCCAATTGTTTTTCTACAGCACTGTTTTGCCTTGGGGCGGGGTCAACACAGAGCTCCTGTCCAGGAAGCCGTGGTGTAGAGAAAGGATGGTAAGTTCCAATCCAGCCTCCAGAACTCACTGGGTAATCTTGGACATGTTATTGAATTTGCTGATCTATTTCTCTGCCCACAAATTGGGGGCAGGAGGGACTCCCTTGCTCAGGCGTCCCACAGGCTGCTGTGAGAACCCCAGACATCAACCGTGCAGCAGAGGCCGTGCCTCTGGGCGCCCTTCCCACCCCTTGCTCTTCTTCAAGAAGTCTCCCTCCTCGGGGCGGGTTCCACGCCCCGCCCCCAGAAAGTCAGCTTGCAGTGCCACTGGCAGCCCTCCAAGTCCGGGGTCCCAGTGGGGTGAGCCCCACCCTCTGCTGAGCCCGACCCTGTCACTGGTGGCCGTGCTCCCATCCCCAGCTCAGAGAGGTAAACTCTACTTCTGTCCCCCACCTCCTCTCTGTGGGGGCAGAAGGAGCGTGGTGAAAGGGTCCCCAATCCCTCGGGTTTCCAGGGATCCTACAAGCCATGCTGTGATGCTTAACTGCCATATAGGAGAGGAGAAATAAATGACGTTTATTCTCCTATCCCCAGATCTCCCGACCCCATCCTGAGCATTCTGAGTGGAAACCAGACCCCGTGGGTGCCCAGCCAGGATCAGTTTGGCAGAAGTACATGGAGTGTGAGAAACTAATAAGATCCATTCAACTTGAAAGCTAATTTTATATGACTGTGTCCATTTTTCCCCCAAGAAATTTCACACCTTGACACAAATGAGGAGATTCTAAGAAAGAGAAATTTAATGTAAGTAGCATTTCCAACCATGGAGGGGTATATGGAAATGGGCCTTTTTCTCTGTGACCAGTGGCCTCCTGAGATACATGAAAGGAAGCCCGCTCCCCCAACATGGTGTCCCTCCCACGACAGTAAAGCCCCAAATTGGCTCATCTCACAAGGACCTTGTACATCTGATGGTGTCTTTGGAAGGCAGGTCACTGAGAATGACACCTGAGCTGCAACTTAGCTGGCATTACCTGGTATACAGTGAGTGCCCAATAAATGCTGGCTGGCCGGATGGATGGATAAGTGAGTGAGTTATTCAACAGTCCCATCACAAGCCAACATTCATTAAAGCCTTTCCATAACAATCTTGACATAGAAGAGTTGTTTGTGGAAAGGCAAGAACCGAATTTGCAAACCCTCCTGTTGACTTCACAATAATTCATGCTCACCTGCGTCTAATAAAATATGGAAGCAATTCTACAGGAATGTTTTGTGCTTTAGCGATTCATTTAACTATTTCCTCCAGGGGGCAAGTCATATATTCTCATCCAGATGTGTGGGGAGTTCCACGAATAAATCTGCAAATATCAAGATGAGATGCTCCCCCCTGACCCCCCGGCCACACGAGTTCTTGCTAACGGAAGCATGAAAGTGGAGACCAGCGGAAGTCATTCTGGCCTCTGCTCCCAGTCACGGTCCCCAAGCCCAAAGCTCCCCATGCCTGACCGCCCTACTGCAGTGACCTGAAACGGCTAAAGGAGCTGAGTGCCCAAGGCACTTTCTTCAAGGAACTTTCCTCTGTCAAGTCCCTGCCCGGCGCTTGGCAGGACCTCGGAGAGATGAGATGCTCTCCACCCCATCAGCCCCGATTCGAGAACACCAGGAAGGAGGCTCAGGTGCCACAGCTGCTGCCACTGTCCCTGCAGACCCCAACCACGGCCCTTCACTGGGCTGAGTCCGCCTGTGTCAGCTGCCCCCCAACTCCTTGCAGATTCAAGAACCGATGAATACAGATGAGCGACACCTGCCCGGAGCTGCCTGGTGTTCCACTCACGTCCTGATTTTCTGGGTCACCAATTTTTTTAATTAAACTTTTAATTTTGAAATAGTTGTAGATTCTCATGCAGTTAAGAAAGATCCCCAAGTCCCAATTCTTCCTCAATTCTGCCTCCCCTGCCCCTGTCCCCTGTGGTAATATCTTGCAAAATAGTAGTACAATAGTGAGTCACCAATTTTTTAAAATGTCACATCCCGTGTCTATTTCCTAATGTGTGATAAGAAGTATATTTTCACCCGGTGGAGGCTCTTGTCTCCCCGTTCCCACTCCCAAACCTACTTGACTTCACCACCCAATTATTTCCCACTTTGATAAAGAGCACAGTGTACAAAGCCCCACATTCAGGATTTCTCTCCCTCTTCCTTGCATTTTCTCACTTTTTTTGGCGGGGGGCCAAAACAGTCCTGAATCCACCCACTTGTCACTCTCTGGACCACAATGACCCTGGCATTAGCCCCTGTCAACGCTCTTCAGCAGAACCAGCTAAAGAATTTGTAGGGCCCAGTGAAAAATGAACGTACAGAGCCCCGTGTTCAAAAACTATTAAGAGGGACTTCCCTCGTAGTTCAGTGGTTAAGGATCCACCTGCCAATGCAGGGGACACGGGCTCAAGCCCTGGTCAGGGAAGATCCCACATGCCACGGAGCGACTAAGCCCGTGCACCACAACTACTGAGCCCACGTGCCACAACTACTAAAGCCTGCGCGCCTAGAGCCCGTGCGCCGCAACAAGAGAAGCCACCACAATGAGAAGCCTGCGCACCACAACAAAGAGTAGCCCCCACTCGATGCAACTAGAGAAAGCCTGCACGCAGCAACGAAGACCCAAAGCAGCCAAAAATAAATTAATTAATTAAAAAAAAAAAACTATTAAGAATTTCATTATGGCAGCAGCACAGCATTACACCAAGCTCGGGGCACTGGTCCCACGAGCCCCCCTGCCCCTCAACCAGAGACCACCAGGAGCACGGCTGTCGACGAAAAGTTGGGCTTGTTAATTTGATGCAGCAAGAGTGAACACACACCATGGGGAACCCTAGGACATCTCAGTCAGGACCTCGTACAGGACTTGGGCTTCTGTCATATGATCTGGGGGAGGGTTCAGGGAATCAAGCCTTCGCTCTGGGTTAGATGCTATCAGGAATCAGGGGTGGTGCTATGATTGGGCATCTTAATAATTCTTATCTAGAAGGTAAGAAGGACGGGACAAAGCTAGAACTGTGATAAGTTTAAAAAGAAAAAAAGTGTCACGTTAGCCAGGATGGGAGATGTTTGGTTGATTTTGCGGTTTGGATGATGTCCATGTTTTGTCTGTGTTCAGATGTGATTTCAGAAGAGTCTTGTTGCTGTCTTAACCCATCGTGGTCACAGAGTGGCTTTGTCTGAGGTTGGTGATCCGTGAAATTGTTTATGTCCAACAGGAAAATGCCTTTTTCTCTTTCTCACCCGTCATCTCCGGCTCAGCTGCCTGCAAGAGCCCGCACTTGCCTCCCCATCTTCACACTCTTCTCCACACAGCAGCCAGCGTGATCCTGTTGAATCATAAGGCAGATCATAGCTCTCCTCTGCTTAAACTTCCAGTGGTCTCTGAGTGAGTTGAACTGTGTCCAAGTCCTAACCCCCAGTATCTGTGAATGTTAACTTAGTTGGAAAAAAGGCCTTGCAGATGTAATTAAGTTACAGATCTCAAGATGCTATCATATTGGATTTAGGTTCTAAATCCAATGACTGGTATCCTAATATAAAAAAGGTACAGAGTATAACTGAATCAGTTTGCTGTACAGCAGAAATTAACACAACATTGTAAATCAACTATACTTCAATAAAATTTTTTAAATTTCTATTTCTTTCTTTAAAAAAAAAAAAGAGAGCACACACACACAGAGAATAGCACGTGTAGACGGAGACAGACTTTGGAGGGATATAGCAACAGCCAAGGGGCACCTGGGCCCACCAGAAGCTGGGAGAGGCAGGGAAGGCTCCCCCCAACCCAGATTCTTTGCAGGGACCATGGCCAATACCCTGATTTTGGACTTCTGACCTCCAGAGCTATGAGAAAATACATTTCTGTCTTAAATCACCAAGTTTGTGGTACTTTGTTGCCACAGCCCTAGAAAATGAACACAGTCCCTTATTGCAATTAAAAAAGAACCTCAATCCCTTCCCCCGACCGCCAACCCCCGTGGGACCTTCTTCTCTCCAAACTCTTTCACACACAACTTCTCCCATTGGCCCCCACGCTCCAGCCACACCTGCCTAACTTTTCCTCCATCGCACTGGCCCTTTGCACATGCTGTGCCCGCTGCCTGGAATCCACCCCTCTGATCTTTCTTTTTTTTTTAATATTTATTTATTTGGCTGCATCAGGTCTTAGTTGCGACATGCAGGATCTTCGCTGCAGTGTGCGGGATCTTTAGTTGCTGTGTGCAGGATCTTTAGTTGAAGCGTGCGAACTCTTAGTTGCGGCACGTGGGATCTAGTTCCCTGACCAGGGATTGAACCTGGGCCCCCTGCATTGGGAGCACGGAGTCTTAGCCACTGGACACCAGGGAAGTTCCTGCACCCCTCTGATCTTTGCACAGCTGGTCCTGGTCATCATTTCGGTCTCCATGCAGAGACCACATCCTCTGGGAGGCCTTCATTAACTTCCTTGATTAAAATAACACTCCCCTGCCTGCTACTTACCCTCTATCCTGTTGCTGATTTAATTTTCTCTTGACACTGCAATTCTATCATTTATTGGTTCACGTCTGTTTTTTGTCTCCACCCCCGACGTGCCGGCTCCATGGAGTTAGGAACATCCCTTGTCTCCCAGCTTATTTTTATTGAACAAACACACATATCATGTGTACTGTATGCCAGGCACTCGGCCAAATGCTTTACAAATGTTACCTCATTTAACTTTCGTGAATAAGATATTTTACAGATGAGGAAACCGAGGCACAGAGAGTTTAAGTCACTTGCCGAAGGTCACACAGCTTGTCAGTGGTGGAGGCACCCAGAGTCGATGAGCTTAAAGCCTCTGCTCGACACAGAAGACTTCAGTCAGTGTCTGCCGGATGGGTGGATGTCCCCTGAAGAGTGAGCACCAGCCCCTCACCAGTAACCTACCAGGTGGGAGGGAGAGGGACCTGTGTCTGCACCTCACCCACTGCTCCCACTAAGGCTCAGGGGTGAGTGAGGGAGAAAAGAGCAGCACTGTGGAGGGTTCTAGAACAGCTCCTAGCCCCCCAGGTATGGGATGCCTCCCAGGGTGTCAGGCTCCTCTCTGTTCCCACACCCCTCTCACCTACATCTCTCCAAAGTGCCCTCTGCCCAGCTACCTGTCCACCTGGGCCCTGAGCTCCTGCGGAAGGGAGTCCAGTGTTCACCAGCAGTTCCTGCACCGGCCCCTCAGTGCCCTGTGACCCCTGCTCTGTGATTCTGCCTCCAGCTGATCAAGCCCACCACGTCCTGGAGCTGCTTCGGCAACCAGGCCCCCAAGGGTCATCCAGGGCCTGGGCCCTGGGCCGTAGTCCACCTTCCTCCAGCCACAGCGCCTGGGGGTGTCTGAAGAAGGGGGTGTCTTCTCTGTGCTCTGGCACTTTCTGGCATGTTTTATATGATATTAGCACTTTGGTGTATTGGTCATCACTCCCAGGAAGCAGAAAGGAAGTGAGTGGATGGAGAAATACATTTTGTAAAAAGGAGAGGGAGGGCTTCCCTGGTGGCGCAGTGGTTAAAAATCTGCCTGCCAATACAGGGTACACGGGTTCAAGCCCTGGTCTGGGAAGATCCCACATGCCGCAGAGCAACTAAGCCCGGGTGCCACAACTACTTAGCCTGTGCTCTAGAGCCTGTGAGCCACAACTACTGAGCCCACATGCCACAACTACTGAAGCCCGCGTGCCTAGAGCCCGTGCTCCACAACAAGAGAAGCCACCGCAATGAGAAGCCCGCACACCGCAACAAAGAGTAGCCCCCGCTCGCCGCAACTAGAGAAAGCCTGCGCACAGCAACGAAGACCCAATGCAGCCAAAAATAAATAAATTAAATTAATTTTCAGAAAAAGGAGAGGGAGAAATGGAGGGGAAGCATCATCGGAAACGAGGATGTGAGCGCCGCCCGGGGAAGAAACTGGAGGTGGGCACGGCTGGACGTGAGGGAGAGAAAGGAAAATTACGCTTTCACCCAAAGCCCTGGAGGAGAAGAAACTGCTACCGAGGGCCCGGCCGGCCACCTCCAGGGCCTCAGCGACCCTTCCGGCTGGAGGCCTCATGGTCAGCCCGGTTCATGATTCATAGATCAGCGGTGAGTTTTTATTTTCAGGTAAAAAAAAAACCATAATAGAATAACTATCTGGTTCCTTAGACAACTCCTTTTCCTCAGCGGTTCTCTCGGGCCCTAGAAGGCTGTAAACAGAGTTTATGGCTGCCCCTGGGTTTCCTTTAAGGTCTTCGGAGCTTCTGTTTCCTGCTGGCTGAGAGGTGGAATTGAAAGCAAGCTCTCAGCCACGAGCAGCCTCTGTCTCCAGAGGCATCTGATGCCGCTGATTCCACACTAACGGGAGGCACTTCTAGATAAAGTTTTCCACCCGCCTGGTCCGTAGGAAAACCTACTACCAAAACATCCACCTGCCTGTTCTAGATTGAAAGAAGTATTTCCCACGTCTTCTAATCAGCATCCTCCACAAGCAGTCAGGATCCGGGAAAGAGAGGTCTGATTCAGGAAGCTTCCCTGGATTAAAACGAGAGTTCTCCTCCACCTCTCTTAAAATTACATCCGTCCTATGCGTTACGCTTCACTGTTTACAAAGCAGTTTTGCAAACATGTTTTCACCTGGCTTTCACGTGTCTTCTAGGGTGAAAACTCACTCGGGAAGCTTTCCTGACATGACCCCAGCCCCCCTCTGTGAGCGAGGGAGTGGGGGTAGCCTCGATGGGCGGGTCTGAGTCCAGGGCCACTTTGGAGCCCGTTCGCTAGTGGGAAGGTCACTGTTATCTAAGGACTCACACGTCCCTAGGACTCACCTCTCTCCTTTGACTTGTGATCCTGGTGAACCTAGGGAGTGATGAGACTCAGGCCCGGCCAACCCTCCTCCCTGGCCCCCTCCTCCTCCTCCCATGCAGATGTAACAGAGGGCTGGGCCGGCCACCCCCACCCTCTTCTCTCATGAGGCAGCGAGGTGCTCAGTTCAGACCAGATGGGTCTTAGGGTCTGGGGGCCGATATGGTCTGTCTTGTTCTCTGCCTCTCTCTGATTGCATCTTCTGGGGCTGACAGATATGAATAATTGGTCTTTTGTCCCAAATTCCTGGACCTTAGGAAAGAGGGGGCTCCATAGGATCCAGCTTGGATCACAAAGTTTCCACACCAGGATTTGGGACCCAAGTCAAGAGACACTTCCTTACTCAGGGACCATGTCAGGGAGGAGGACATTGACAAGGCCAGATGAGGGCATTGCTGATGTATCAGTCAGGAAAAGTTAGGTTATGCTGCTGTAACAAACAGCCCCCAAAATTTCAGTGGCAAAGAAAAAGAGAGGGAGAAAAGAAGGAAGGGAGGGAGGGAAGAAGGAAGAAAGAAAAAAGAGAGAGGGAGGGAGACAGGGAGAGAGGCTGGTTTCTCATCATCTTCATTGTTAACTGCAGGTCAGCTGTGGTTTTTCTCTCTGTCCTCTTTATTCTAGGACCAAGGCTAAAGGGGCCACTTCTACTGGCACATTCTGGGTTTTCAGCAGAGGGAAGGGATAATGTAGGACAAGAAAATGGGAGGGGATCCTGGGAAAGACGGATGAGGGAGCAAAGATCCTTCCTGACCCCCAGGAGCTCCACTCACATTTCATCCCATGGCCAAGCCTGATGTCCGTGGGTTGGGACTTGTAATCCTTCCTTAGGGATGGCCCCGTAGGGACGAGCAGCTGATGTGGCAATCAAACGGCTGCCCCACCTGGCCACAATACAAACCAGAGTCTCACTTGTCTTTTCCTACTGTGTGCCACCAGGCTGTCATGAGCAGCTCTCCTAACTCAGAGCTGAGACTCAAGGATACAGGGCAAAAGCGAATCCCATTTTATAGACAAGGAAACTGCAGTTTCAGAGGGCGAGTTTGGCAAAAGCAGACCAGATACTCCCTCAGCCCACCTTCTCCTCCTGGGCACACAGATGACATTTCCCGGCGGACTGGTTCTAGGACACAGAATATGCATAGGACTCATGCATGCTGCTTCCACACCCGAATATAAGCCTCTGTCAACCTCCCACCCTCTCTCTTCCCCTCCATCGTTCGCTGTGAAGGCCGTGTTTCAAGACGGCAGCATCTAGAATTGGAAGGAGCGGGAGTCCCAGAATCAGCACTCAGCTTGCCGCCCCGCAGAGCCACCGCATCTGCAGCACACGGAGATCTGAGTGACAAACCTCCAGCGTGGCAGGGCACGGAGAGACTAACACACCTCACAACACAGTAAGTCAGGACGCGGAGCTGGGGAACCGTGAAGCTGGGAGACGGGCCCCAGGTATTTTGGTTTGGGTTCCCCCAAAAGCGGAGCCTGTGACAAGGACTGGGTCAGGTAGTTGTACTGGAGGTGATCCTGGGAAAGAGGAAGGAGGGAGCAAAGAGAATGAAACAGATCCCTCCAAAAGAGATGGGAAGTCCTGACCCCCAGAGGCTCAGGTCGTAACCTTATTTGGATATAGGGTCGTTGCAGTTTGTTGAGATGAGGTGATACCGGAGAAGGGTGGACTGCTAATCCAAGATGACTGGTGTCCTTATAAGAAGACAGAGACACACAGGGAAAGCACGTGATGACAAAGGCAGAGCCTGGAGTGATGCAGCCACAAGCCCAGGGACACCAAAGGGAGGAACCCCCTACTGCTTTCAGGGGGAGCATGACCCTAACACCTTGATTCTGCAGTCCTAGTCCTGGAACTGTGAGACAATACACTTCAGCTGTTTTAAGCCACCCAGTTTGTGGCACTTTGTTGTGGCAGCCCTAGGAATCTAATAAGGCGAGAAGAAGGAAAAGCTCATCAGCGGTGATTGAGCTGCCTCCCCTGAAGGCCACCGGCTCTCAATCCACCCAGGACACCTGAGCACCCAGGAGATTGTGACTCAGACTCGTCCCTCCAAGACCACGGACCGGGGCATCTGTGTACCAGCTCCTGCTTCCACTGGTGAAGGCTGTCCCTGGGGCCCGCTGGTGGCAGGGCCACCCCTGCACATGGCCTGAGCTCACCAGCTTTCCATTGAGCTGCAGATGACGTCAGAGGTGGACGTGGGGACATGGGGTGGGACAGGCGCCAAGAGCATCTGCTGCACCAGGACGTGGGTCCTGACCCATCATCTCTCTGTAGCACCACTTTACTCCAAGTTCAAGGTGAAGACTGAAAGTCACCCAGGCAGACGTACCATTCACCGTATGCACTTTGGGACCTCTTATTTCATATGTGTGCGTGGATGAACTTGTCAAGATGTTACGAAGGGGAGAAAGAAGGAAGGGGAAGAGGAGAAAAAAGGAGAGGAACGTCAATATTATTATCGTCATTTCAGGGAACCTGGGACACAGATTAAGTGATGTTTTCCTGGCAGCACAGCTAGCGAACATCTTCACACTAATTTACACGAAGCCCACCTGACTCCCAAAGCCCACAGTCATCTTGAACACAGATGATTTTTTCTTCCTTTACAACCTGAAGAATCCACAGTCACAAGCACATCTGATCTGGTAAAGACAGAACTGGGAAGTAAACTGACTGAAACATTGCTCTTGCTTGTGATGAATCGTTGAAAGATATACATATATTTATTTGTGCACAAAAATTGCACAACCATGGCTATGGATCCACACAATTTAGGGGTTTGAAGGTGTGAAACGAACAGGCTCAGATTCCTGACACTGACACCTTGTACTCTCGCTTTGTAAGCCAAGATGGAGATTTCTAATTTTGCTCATAACCAATTTAAGGGTCATGCTAGCTGCTATAACAAATAAACTGCGTCAGGGCTCAAAAAAAGTCACTCACCTTGGAAGTTTATTTCTTGTTCACTTCGAGTCCTGAGTTGGGATCTGGAATCATCCTCTAGGCAGTGATTCAGTTACCCAGGTCCCTTCCATCTTGTGGCTCCTCCAAGGTTACTATGCTTGTCTGCACCAACCCAAGGGAAGGAAAGAGAGTTATAAAACACATCTGGTTCTTAAAGGGTGACTATATAACATATCTCCCAAACCAGGACACTTTTGAGAGTGAAAGGGGATGTTATTAAGAATTATACCAAGACAATAAACTCAGTAAGGGCAAACTCGGATATATGATCTCCCTACTTCATAACCACCTTGATCTGGAAACAACCCGCTTCACTTTGCTTCACATGCTATTGGTGAATACGGCCACGTGGTATTCCACTGATCTGTTTTTGTGTAACGAACCACACTGAAACAGTGGCTTGAAACAATGACCAAACATTTTTTGGTTCACAAATGTGGGATGATCTGGGCTCAGCTGGGTGGCTCTTGCTCAGGGTCTCTCACATGGGGGGAGGGGGGCCTCGTGCACATTTACCTCCCCGTGGTCTCTGCAGCATGGCAGCTCCAGGGCAGCCAAACTCATGCAGAGTGGCTCAGGCTCCAAACGACACATGTCACAAAAGAGAGCCAGGCGGAAGCTGCATCACCTTCTGAGTCCTGGCTTGGAAGTCCCACAGATCACATCTGCTTAGTCTATTGGTTGAGGCTGTCACAAAGACCCACCCCTGGTCCACCTCTCAAGGGGAGAGTAGCAAGTACGGATGAGACCAGAAACAGTGTCAATGTCATTTTTGGGAAAACACAGCCTGCCATGTATGAGCCCACCAAAACATGAGAAGCGATGGGTGCTGCTGGAAAACAGAGACAGGCTGGGCCTCCCCTTCCCACCTCTCAGTCAGTTCAGGCTGCCGTAACAGAAATACCATAGACCAGGTGGCATGTAAACAACAGATGTTTATTTCTCATGGTTCTGGAGGCTGCAAGTCAAGGACCAAGGCATCAGCAGATTCTGTGTCTGGTGAGCACCCGCTTCCTGGTTCACAGATGACATCTTTCCTCTGTATCCTCATGTGGCAGAAGGTGCAGGGGAGTTCCCTGGGGTCTCTTTTATAAGGGCACTAATCTCATTCATCAGGGCTCCACCCTCATGGCCTAATCATCTCCCAAAGGCCCTACCTCCTGATACCATCACCTTGGGATTAGGGTTTCAACATACGGATTTGGTGGGGCACAGACATTCAGTCCATAGCACCAGCCCAACTCTAAACTGTAAGATGGAGAGCAGGACTTAGTGGACACTTGGCCATCTCTCCCACACCAGCGCTGTCTGCAAAGCAGCCCACCACTTGGGTCATTGGGCCCAGAGAGGATGGCTGGGTCCTGCTGTGGCACCTGTGAGACGTGGGACCACAGGAAGAAGGGGGAAGTGGGAGAGAGCTTTGCCCCAACCTCAGAAGCAGTTTCTTCCATGGGGTCAGTCTAGGCAGCATTGGACCTTGTATGGGAGGAAGAACCCAAAAATGTGGGTGCCCCCCAGCTTGGCCTGGCCTGATTATTCCACCATGAGCCAACACAAGGCTGGCAACTCATGGTCAGCCCATTAGAAACGTTTCTTTTTTTTTTGGAAAAACAATAATATCGTTGGTGGCTAAAAATTATTATTAAATGAACTGCTTTGTAAATGAACCCTGGGAAACATCTTAAATTTCAGCTTAAAGAAAACCAGCCATTTCTGCTTTCCCATTCTATTGGAATCCCAGCAAAGCAGGAATTGTGCTTTCCAATGCTCAGGTATGCTAGACCATAACATGAGAGGAACAGTTCCTAGAAGGTTCTAGAAGGACCCACTTGGTCCACACCCAGAAGTCCTCCTATGCAGCCACTCAAGGCTCCTACCCAACCTCATCATCTGTGTCTCCTCCTTTTCTTTTTTAATAAATTTATTTATTTGTTTGTTTGTTTGTTTTTGGCTGCATTGGGTCTTCATTGCTGCACACGGGCTTTCTCTAGTTATGGCGAGCGGGGGCTACTCTTCATTGCAGTGCACAAGCTTCTCATTGCGGTGGCTTCTCTTGTTGTGGAGCACGGGCTCTAGGCACACGGGCTTCAGTAGTTGTGGCACGCAGGCTCAGTAGTTGTGGCTCACGGGCTGTAGAGCGCAGGCTCAGTAGCTGCGGCACACGGGCTTAGTTGCTCCGTGGCATGTGGGATCTTCCCGCACCAGGGCTCGAACCCGTGTCCCCTGCCTTGGCAGGCGGATTCTCAACCACTGCGGCACCAGGGAAGCCCTCTCCTCCTTTTTAAGGAGCATCTTGTCTTCCTTAACAGGTATGATTTCCGTGGTGGTTAATTATATGTATCAACTTCGCTGGATCACGGGAGATAGATAGATATATATATAGGTTCCGTTCTCTGGAGAACCTTGATTAATACAGTTTCCTTTTTGTGCCTAAAAATTCCTCTTTTTTAAGAGGTTCTTTTTTCTCCTTCCCCTCAGCTCATCACCCCTATTCTGTAAATATTACAAGATGAGAAGTGATTAATTCACCTGCAAGAACCAGGAGATCAGACTTCTGCCTTGTTTTTTTTTCATTTTATTGAAGTATAGTTGATTTACAATGTTATATTAATTTCTTCTGTACAGCAGAGATTCAGTTATACATATATATACATTCTTTTTCTTATATTCTTTTCCATTATGGTTTGTCACAGGATAGTTCCCTGTGCTCTACAGTAGGCCCTTGTTGTTTATCCGTTCTCTTCATAATAGTTTGCATCTGTTCATCCCAACCTCCCAGTCCTTCCCTCCCCCCCGCAACCCCCCCTTGGCAACTTGCCTTCTTTTCTAACTACAAGTTTCTATAGAGGGAAACATTTGAGTTTCCTTTGCACAGAAAATGACAGCGACTTTCCAAATTCCTGATTTCCTCCATGAAAAGGTCGGGTGTGTGTCCCAGGGCTATGAACACGGAAGTTCTCACCTGCAAACTGACGTCTGTTCTGTTTAAGTGACATTCTCATGAGAATGTCCAATCTGGGTGGATTTCTACATAAAAGTAGAGCAAACCTCCACTTTCCTCGTGAGGGTCTGAGGAGACCGGTCTAGCTTAAGTGAGGGTCTCTCTACCACAGTGCGGCAATGGCCCCTCGACTGCCCCTCGCTCCTCCTCTGGAGCTCCATCCCCTCCTGCCACCAACGGCAGGGCCTGGGCAGTGGCGCGGCCCTTCCAGGCCCCCAAGAACCCCCTGACCACGTGCGACTCTTCCCAACTCCTCACTCACCTTGGTAGCTTGGAATCAGACGCTGTTCCCGGGAAGCTCGTTGGTGTGAGACCACAGGTCTGCAGACAAGAGGGATCCGGACGCCCCCTCCAGGCCCAGCTCACTAACTTCAGGACCCCCGGCTCTGAGACCAGCCCCTTGGGCCCCGTCGTCTCAGGTAGGCGTGCTGATACCTTTCCCCCGGAGGAGTACCCACCCCCAATGAACACACAAACCCTCGTGGCTCCCCAAGACTGGGCCAACCAGACCCCAGGAGTTCAAGGCCCAGACCTGGGTGCTGAGTGTCACTGGAAATAGGGAAATGCACCAGCAGGTGGTGGGTGCTGGAACCTTTTTGCTTTTTAATGGTTGGGACCTCAGTTATGTTCCCAGCAAGGAGTGGCCTCTTGGCTTTTACCAACAGAAGCTTGTTTCCGAGGGGCTGTGAGGCCCAGGAAAGTGTGGGTCTGTGAGCTGTACCCACACTTCACAGGGGAGACTGCAGTAAGAGTCACAGGTGAGGTCACCTTGCTGCGTTAGATGCGGGGAATTCAGCTGAGAACACCGAGTGCACCCCACTCTCAGTCCAGCCCATGGCCCATGGCAGCAGGACCCCATGCAAGACCCCACTCCTGTCTCTGTTACCCCACCTCCCCCTTCCACAGATAACCATTCCGATGGGCTCCACGTGTACACTTGTTTTCATGTGTGCTCTGAAACACCTGTGTTGTTTTTTGTGCAGGTATTTTAATGGCCACAAATGCAAGCACTGTGGGCCTCACCGTCCTTCCATTTCCAGGCAGCTCTCGGCTTTAAAAATGCTGCTTTGCGTTCATCTAACCCGTTAACCGGGCTGCTGCGCAATATTTTGCCGGGTTTCTGACCTCCTTGCCTGACCCCTCCCTGAGCGAGGACACCCAGAGCGCCTTCACCTCCCCGGGCTCAGTGATAGTGGAGGAGCATCCTCAGACATGCCCTCTACACACCCCTGCGCGACCATCCCGGGGTAGCAAGCATCTTCTGAGTGCTGGGAGCTCTGGCTGTGCTATCTCAGGTGTGTCCTCCGTGGACACAGAGGTGTCCTTTTCCTCACCTGCCGGGGGTGAGAATGCCTGGACCGGGCGGGGTGAGGGTGGGGGGATTGGATGAGGACATGCAGGTCTGGAAGAGCTTTGAGATGCTGTTCTGTGTCAGAGCTCATTAATTCCCAGAAGCCACCCCGAGAGGGACATGTGTGGACCAAAGACCAGGGTCACCTGAAAGACTTGTACCAAGACCAGACGCCCCCCCAGGCCTGTCGTTAGCCAGGTGGCAATTAGAAAAATTCAGTGACATTTGTGTCCCCAACTATAGAGCCAGTTCTCCGCCCTCTAGTGAAAGTTTCCAGTTGACTAGGAAACAGGGATCTGGTAAGAGTGACAAGCCTGAGCAGCAAGAAGGGATGGGCACCGGATCTAGGGGGGCAGCTGGCTTCACGGAGGAGAAGGCACGATTCTTCCGCTGTGAAGTGGGAATGGAAAGCGGCGGGCAGACGGTGGCAGGAAGGAGAGAGCTCACTCTGCTGGCTTGTCGTTCCTGGATGAAGTTAGAGATGGGGGCGTCCGCTAAGCAGAAGGGGGTTGGGTAGGAGCTTGGGCAGCCGAGGAGAGAAGAGGAGGTACGAAGTCCTCATTGCCGAGAGTAGGAGAACAACCTACGGGGAAAGTAGTGGGATTGCCGGGCAGCACGGGGATGCTGGGAGAAGATGGAGAAGAGCCAGCCAGTGTGTGTGTCAACCACGCTGGGGTGTGCTCAGTGGGGGATGACGGCAGGAGAGAGACAAGGGAGGTGATTAAACGAGGGGTGATGAGTAAGGGAGGGAGTCATTCCGTGAGATGGTGGGAGCTCCGGATGAGGCTGGCAGGAGTGCTAGAGCGAGTGGGGGGCAGGAGAGATGCTTGGATCTCTTTTCCAGATAAAGTCAGGGTCCTGGGTGTGACCACAGG